GTAAAATTTCGTTGACGGCCCAGCACATCTGTTACCAACCAACTGATGAACAAAAGAAAATTCGCCAAAATTTTCACTATTCCTCATCAAATAAATCAATTTGCTGTATTTAAGGCATCGCAAATTTTGATTTATTTCTGATTTCTGACACTATGAAATGAGTTTGTAAGGAAAATAGCACGATTAAAATTTTAAATTCCAATTTATGCCGAACGGTAACGTTTGATCCGTTTTGATGAACTTCCCTGAGGGCATTGAAAAAATCCATATACATAGACGGTGTCCTATCTACCTGCATTGCCATTTAAGATCATAAACGGCTATCAGTTTACAGCGCTTTCAAAACATCAGAGCTCGCTTTAGAGGCTCAATAAAAGACAGTCACGAAAAGAATAGACGATGGCTACTTGATGCTCTTTAAAAAGGTTTTTATAATGATTTTTAATATCTACTGTAAAATGTGGAAGAAAATATATACGAAAAGATCTCAACATCTTAAGTGCATTTTAATAATCTGTAAACTATATTTGCATAACGATTTATTCTAATAGGTTAACCATGAGTTTTTTATACATACAAAATAGTCCCAAAAACATAATGTCTCTTATAAGCACCTTACCCAAGCACGTACACCAAATTATAAGTTAGCGAGACAAAAACCAAACCTGTTTTTCAGACAAGAAAAAAAAAAGGGAGAATCGCCGAAGCAAGTTGGGCTATCAAAAAACTTTTATCACAAAGAAAAGCTAAACCAGTCAACGGGTTTTATTTCGGGCTTTTGTGGCTGGCTAATTTGTCCAGGGGTTCTCGATATTCAAGATGTTGCATCCTTTGATATCTTTTTTGGGATGGGAAGACGGAGATGATATCAGAGCATCTGATTTGCAGGCTGACCATTTTTTTTGATCTTTTGCGCACGAATTAACTTCAAACAGGCGTGAATAATGCCCTGGTGATCTTTTGTCTTTGGCGTTTCGGGAATCTGGAAATTCATTTGCCCCTAAAAACGAGAGGCCACATTAAAGTGCCGCACCCGCCGACTGCCGCCTGACACACTTCCCCCGGAACTGAACCTTCGACAAGCTTTATGACATGTGCGGTTTGAGTTATGACCGGCTCTTGATTTTTTGCGGCATGTGCTTGAATTTCTTGATCCCCCTCTCTCCTTTTGCCATGCCACACATACATATTTCAGATGGCTGATAGTTTAATTGGTCTGGACTTTATGTGTTTTGCGGTTTTTGTTTGCCCGTCGTCTTATTTCTGGGCCGCTTTTGTGCTTGTTTTTTCTTGCCTTCTGTAGCTACTGGTCTTTGAGTTCAGCGTAATGAAGACGTCACATGGCAGGCATATTAATGCTAATTGATTATGCCAAAGTTCCTCAAATAGTTAAGGCAGCTCGGCAAAACTTATCTTGATCGCGCAGCCCAAAACAATTAAGGCAATTCTCTGGTGGGTTTATTAACTTTTGTCACAAAGCCCCCTGAAAATTCTAAGAAAAAGCCACACAACGAGCAAGTTAAAACAATAAATTTCCTACAAGGCTGATATTAAGTCACATAATAAATCGTTTACACGATCACCACCATTTAGAGTAAAAGGTAATTGAGACATTTAAGACGCAGCAGGGCCTCCATTTCCCCAGAAAGATTTCGGTGTATCTTGTAGATTTATAAATCTTGTGACAAATCAGATAAAATTTTTTACGAAATTCCCAATAAAAATCTCTATATAAATCTATAAATCCCACACTCAATTAAATTGATTAACGCTGCCATAAAACAAGACGACAATAAAATGCAGGGAGCAAACAAATCTTGGCTAATAAAACGCATAAACAAAAAACCAAAAAGAGAAATGAAATGTATTCATGGACTAAACTTTTTATTACCCCAAAGCTAGAGCCAAAGTTTGGCACGATCTAGCCTCGGTAACGACAAGTGTTTTGCAGTTTTAATAGAGACATAAAAACAGTTATAAATACAGGAATTTCATACACTATTCATTCCCCTGTAATTTGGTAAATAAACCAAAAACCAAGACCACAAAAAAAGTTAAACAACAGACATAGATATCCGAGTATTTGGGAAAAAAGACGCCATAAAAACTCGAAACAAAACATTTTCATTGTGGATTGCGGGTGCTGGGGGTATAAATTTCGGAAAACAATCGGCCAAACAACACCAAAAAAAAGTCAGTCATAAATAGTTTTCATTTCATTAGCTGCGCTTTGTGAATTGGCCCGACATTTGGGCAACCACTATTGCAACAAATATGAAAGCTGAATATGCAAGCGTGCTGAAATAACAAACATTGCCTCTGTTTATTCAATCAGGTAAACCAAAGAGGCCAAGAAGAGTATCGCTATAAATAGAAAAACACACACCTGTAATTGAACTTTTGGACCCTATTCGAAATATTGCGTAAACAATTACAGATGGAACGTCACAACAATCACAAAAATCCTCTGACCACAATTTATTTACAAATAAAGAAAAAGCCAAAGAGCCACTCGAACAGCGGCGTTTAATTAATGGCTCTTTATCAAGAGACTGAATAAATATTCAGTGATTTAAAATTTGCATAAATTGAAATAAATAAAACCAAATTAGAAAGAAATACAAAATTAATACAAGAGCTGCTGGCTGGTTGGCATGAAAAGCTAAAATATCATTGAATATTCAGAGTAAAAGTCAATGATTTTGTTTATGTTTAAGTGGCCGATAGTGTTTACACATTTGTGGCTACCTTAGGAGAGGTAAAGAATTCGGAAATATGAGTGGTAAATAGATAAAATTGACAAATTTATTAGCATTTTTATATGCTAAAGGCTAGCTAATAAAGAAGTATTATCTCAAATTTAGTTAGCTATAAGATAGATTGAGAAAGTTCCTCATTTTTAAAGAGCTTTGAAGAGCTAAGAGCCGATAAGTCCAAATATAACTCAATTTACAAGTTTAAAAGGTTTAAAGGAACCATATCGGCATTAAAAAATGTAAAGCAATCATTTAAACCAAAAATAAAAGTGTATTTTTACAAATTTTGTTCCTTCTTTTGTATCCTTGAATATTATAATTCTTTAAGAATTTATTTAAGTATTTAGAGACCGTAAAAAGAACCCCCACAAGGGGTAGTAAAATTTCCGACTTAATGATCTAAAAAGGAGATAAGAAACGCAACCCATATTTCCCCAAGGCAAAACAATTAAAAATCGCTTGTAATTAATCAAATAAAGTGCCAAGAGTTCAAGTACTTTGGGGAATCCAAATACTACCACCGAGTCTAGAGTAATTTATGTCCAACTTGGCCCATTAGGAATACAAATCTGAGTAGCCCCCGGAAAATGGAACGCCTTCACATCCGAAATAATAGAATAATCTGTCTATTTTCCATTGGACACGCAACGCCAGAGACTCATTTTCGTTTTTGGCTTTCGCCGCACTCACTATTCATTTAAGCATGTTTTTCTGCTATGGCGCGTACAACTAATTAAGCTATTTTTAAAGAAAAGCGAATTTTCCAACACACGCACATGGCATCGGCAGATGGGCGTGCCCACGCCCTACTCGTCACTATGTCTGGCAAGATCGCGTGCGTAAGAAAACAAAACAAAAAAAATGAAGGAGTGGCAGCTGCGCTCAATTAATGTCATTTCCCAGCTATTTCAATTTGGAAAATATTTCATAAACACTGCAAGCAGCCTTGCCAAAAGCCAAAACAAAAAACAGAAATCCAAATTAGCAGAGACTATATCTATAAAATAAACATTCAAGAATATATGTATATATCTATATCGTAAACACAGTCATTTGACATTGAACTCATTCTAAAAGTCACGCCCACTGCTTTTTTTTGGCATTTGGAGAAGAAACGAATTTATTTTTTGTTTAATTAAAGATCGCCAAAATGAAATTGAAACTTTTTTCAACATATACCCGTACATATATATAGAAATCATCAAATACAGAAAATATATCGAAGTTTTGCGCCTGCAATTGGAAATTTATGACCTCCTTTAACGAATTTATCGAAGCTAATATTAGAGATGACTGGCACGAGCTGGATTAATTGTTAAATCTACATTTTCGAAGCAATATCCACACAAATACCACACAATATATATAGCAAAGTTGAGTTAATACCGTCTGGTTTGGGTTTATGTGTCCCCAGGGTAGAATTTAATGCGCTGTTTTGCCTCGGTTTGGTTTTTATGGCCCACGAATGCACTTTACACCTCGGCCATTAAATCATTCATTAAAATAAGGGGGAGGAAGCCTTATTAGTCCCCGGGATTAGACAAATTTCAATCAAGCTGGTTCGTAAAAGATTTATAGTTCCAGACTGAATATGAATTGTGACCTAAATATAGTTTTATATACACATTTAATGTTACAGATTAGACAATTACAAAAAGGGCACGCGTGTCAAGGATTTATGAATGATGAAAAGAAAAGTAAACAAAATCGTTCTATACAGAACTTTACTATGTTACATATTTCCGAATCTCATTCAGGGCGAATTTCTTTAGCACCTTGACGTAAACAATTTCCGATTTTTGAAGGCGCCAACCGAAAGTCTGTAAACAAAACTTTTTGTTTTTGTCTAATTAAAGCTCACCAAAATAGATAAACAGCAGTCAGTGGAGATTTTTTTCTATATATTTTATGAAATCTGCGTGTAATCCGCTGGGAAACATTCCAACGCATATTTTTTTTTATTTTTTGGTATATACATATGAATATATGCAAACCTCGAGCTAATAAATTTATTGATGAGCCGTAGGAAAACAAAAACGGGTTTGGTCTACCAAAAAGAATGAATGGTATGGTCTCAATAAAAACACAAACGGCAAAAATATAAATTATGAATTTTAGCATTTCGCCAATGGGTGTGCTAATTTGCATTGGCGCCAAGGGGCAGGAATACAACGAAAACACAACAAGGTAATAGTAATTTATGGCTAACGCAATGAGAATTAATAAGGGGGCTTTGGGCCTTACCTGATCTTGACAAAAGTATCCGAATCCGATGATACCGGCTATGGCCAGAAAGAGACAAAACACAATGATTGTTCGTATTTTAGAGCGCGGTTCCATTTTCTTGATTTCATAAACTCCACTTGGTAGCAATAAGGCAAAATCACTATCGACTTGAACTGATACGTTCTTATGCATATCCACGGGCATGTTCCATACCCTGGCCTCCCTGGAATCCTCCCGTGGAATCACACTAAATCATCACAGGTCCAACCGTATCGACTCGAACCCGGTGTCGGTATTGGTATAGGCGTACCCAAACCAGACGCGATTCGGAAACGAGGCCAACTCAATCATACTTCAGTCGTTGCCCGATAAGAATTCTGAAAATGGGAACGAACTTCTTTAACCATTGCAAGCAGCACGGAAATGAGGTTTCCTTGTCTCTAGTTTTCCAGTAGCTCTGCAAATAGATTAAGTGAGAACTTGTTAAGTGTGATTTTATATTTTTTTAGGGAGCACTTCAATCACGAGTAGTAGTAGCACTTGACCGGGTAGCGATAAGGAGGGTCTTTCAAATTACTTATCTCTTATCTAGCCACTTATTTAGTAAGTGAAAGCTTTTCAAACCAAAACATAAATAAATCAAAAGACCTTAATTATACATCTGACTGATAATGTGCTCAGAATTATAAATGTCACTTTAATTTCCATATTTTTTAAGGGAAAACCTAATTACACCTAAAAAGATCTTTCTTATCTTGAAATCTGACCCTGTTTTTTATTAGCAAATTGTTAAGGAAAAATGTAAAAGGGAAGAGGTGTACAATTTTTTTTGGTGCATTAAAAATAATCATTGTTTGTGTGGGAAATCTTGAAATGAGGCTGCACAAGCAAAAACTACCTGCAAAATAAATAGCTTACAAATAAAATACATAAATCAAAAAGTGATGAAGAAATCGTAGGATTATACATAAGTGAAAAGGTGACAGGCAAAGTAATGAACTCAATATACACTAAACGAAATAAAATAAATATAATAACTCTATTAGCTTAACATGTAATCTCCAATTAAATTTATAGTTTATAGAAAGGAATTGATCTGTTATAAAACCGATGTGTGACTGATAAAATAACATCAAATTGTAAGCTAGCCATAGTTGTTTAAAATGAAATTTCACAAATATTTTAGACTTTCCTAGACAGCAATGAATATTGGTATCAAAAAATCAAAAAATTAGTTGTAACAATTCGATAGAAAAGTCATATTTTCAATACATTTGATAGAAAATGAAAACACCTTTGCTTTATGGTTCCCTAGATAAGAAATTGTTTGCTTATCATAAACCGCTTTATCGGAGCTAGATATTAAAATAACAACTAACCCTGTTCAGCCATACATATTCGTCAAATAATTTTTTTTTTATATTAGCAAATGAATATGGTAGTAACAAATATTTTATAAGAAAATTTAACTATGATCATAAATTATTTGTTGGTCTAATATACTGATGGATTATTGTATGGAGTACCAATAAGTTCTCCGAATTTACTAAAATTTAATTTTGGAATGCAAATGGGATTATATATTGCGGTGCAAGTAATGATAATATATATTTTTAAGAATATTAATTATTTTAAAGTCAAATCAACACTAAAGCGTACATAAGTCGATATAAAAACTAGTCAGGCTATGAATATGATCAGGATTATACAAATTACTTCAGTGAATTTTTTAGTTAAAATCGAATAATTATGCATTATACAAAATTGTAATTAGTTTAGACTTCCAATGAAAACTAAGGTTTTACTAAAATAATGAGAATTCGTAATTAAAAAGCAACCTCAACTAAAAGTTAACTCCGGGAAGTGTATTTACATAAATATAGAAAAACCCACCTGACTCGCGATCGGTAGTCAAAGTGACGCCCAAACCGCTGCTGCTACTCTTTTTTATGTAGGCGCTTTAGTTTCGCGATCGTTGCCACCGGCGAGACTGTAATTGTTGTAAACAAATGGAAAACGTTGCTTATTGGCAACTTGGCAAAAATAAAAAACAAACCAAGAGACAAGAACAGAAATGCAGATGTGGCGAAACATGTTGCCAGGCAACAATAACAAACATGCTGTGGACACATGGCCGTTTAAATCACTTGGCTGTACTCTAAAATATACTTAAAACCTGCTAATTGCTTAACTAAATTATCAGTTTCTCGGCAACAGTGACGTCAGGGCAAAGAGAATAATTATAATAATAGAATCAAACGATTTAGCAACATTGCATTAAAAAAAACACACAAACAAAGAGGAGCAACAAAAACAGAGAGAGATAAAGCAAAAGAGAGAGAGCTGAACCAGACAGAGCAAGAGGCAAGACAACAGCTGTTTCAGTTGGCTAAATGTGAATTTGCCAATTTGAACGAATTTAAGCAGATTTTACTCACTTTTCACGGGCCAACTGGCGAGTTTGTTGACTTTTCACAATAGTAGCGGCGTTACACGTTTATTTATTTACATTTCTTGGCGATTTAGGCGCTTGCACGCTTACTTAGCGCGCTTTCTGCTTTGTGTCACACATTCTGCGACGGCCACATAAAAAAGCCCGCAATTAGCACTTGCGTCTATTTACAACTATCTTTAAGATCGTTTCCCATGCACTTGCACTGTTCACCAGCTAATGTTTGGTAATTTGTCACTTTTTCTGAGTATTGCGTGTGTTTTTTACGAATTTTTGGAGAAAAACAACGCGGAATTAACGACGACGTCTGTTTTCTTCGAAATCGGCGAATGAACTGACCAAAACGGATTGCGCAAGTTGGACAGAAGAAACAGCTGACTGGGCTGCCAGACATCCGCAGGTGTACACCCGTCATAGGACTGGCAACGCTTGCATCTATCGATACAAAAAATTGTTTTTAATAAATATTTATATTATTCATTTAGTTTTTTGATTCTTGATTCTAAAGTAAATCTTCAGAGGGTATTAGTAAGTGCTTATTGGAACTTCTTTTATTATATTAAACATTTTTTATAACAATATTAATTCTTATAAGTGCTCTTACCATTGACTTATGATTTTCACATTTATTTGTTCTATATTTATTTCGACAACCCTGCCAACTGCGCATCGATGGATTCAGATCGAACTATCGATAGAGTCGGAACGATAGACATAACAAACCGAAATAGAAGAAGAAGAGTGTCGAAAACCAGATAAAATAGTTTACATTTTTCGCAACAAGTTTTCGCCTTTAAAGACAACTTCCACTTCCTATTTTATTATGGAGGTGGACCAGATTCCTCTAGCCGACGTGGTCTTCATCATCGAAGGTAGCGCAATAAACGGGGCGTATATCAACGAGTTAAAAACCAATTACATCCTGCCGACGTTGGAGCACTTCACCACCGGATCCATCGATGAGCGGGAATACTTGATTGCGGAACGGTTTGCCACTTTATACGGAATCGTTGTCTACCGGACCGCTGCCAATCTGTTGGAACCTGTGTGCGCCACCTATGGACCCTTCCTGCAACCACAGAAAGTAATGGAGACAATCGAGAGATTGCCTCTAGTTGGAGGCGGAATGGAGTCATGTGCCCACATGGCCGAAGGGTTTGCTGCAGCGCATGGCTGCTTTGACGACATTAGCGAACGACGTCAATTGCTTGACCAGACGAGCGTCCAACGGCATTGCATCCTCATCTGCAATAGTCCGCCATACCAGATGCCCACCACGGAATCGTGGAAATATCCTGGAAAATCGTGCGAGCAGCTGGCGGCACTATTTCACGAGAGAAAGATCAATCTTTCCATTATTGCCCCTCGCAAGATGCCGGTATTATTTAAGCTTTTCATGAAGGCCGACGGGGATCAACCTATTACTAGCAAGAACTATGCAAAGAACATCCGGCACTTGGTGCTGCTCAAGGGATACAGTCTCAAGGAGCGAGCTCCCAGTCCGAACAGCATGGCGGCTCAGATGGCCGCTCCAAATGCAGCACAGGCTGCAGTGCAACAACAGCAGCAGCAACAAAACCCGGCAGGTCAGCAGCAGCCAGGTCAGGGAATGCCCATGGACACCACACCAGTCCAACAGCAGCAGCAACAACAACAGCAGCAGCAGCAGCAGCAACAAGGCAATCCCCAGCAGCAGGTCATGAACATGAATATGCAGCAACAGCAACCCGTTCAAAATCCTCAGGCGGGCCTTCTCAATCCACAGCAACAGCAACTTCTGCAACAGCAGCAACAACAACAACAACAGCAGCAGCAACAGCAGAATCAATTTGTGCCCAATCAAATGCAGAATCCCAATTTCCAGCAAAACGTTGGACCAGGCCAAAACCGCTGGATGTATCCCAATCAGCCGGGCCAAGCGCGTCCGCCGTTCATGCAAGGAGGAGGCAATGTGGGCGGTGTTGGTCAAGGAGGTGGCATGCAACAAAATCCCAATTCGGCACTTATCTCGCGTATTAATGCGCCGCCTCCAAATCAAACGGTCACCTCGCTACAACAACAGCAACAACAACAGCAGGCCCAACAGCAACAACAACAGGCTCAACAGCAACAACAGCAAAGGATGCAGATGCTTAACCAACAGCAGATGCTTAACCACCAACAGCTGCAGCAACAACAACAGCAACTTGTCCAGCAACAGCAGCAGCAAGGTCAGCAACAGGGCAATCCCAACCCCGGTAATAATATGATGCCGGGTGGCAATGCAGGCAACATGCCCAACCCACAGCAGCAACAACAAGTGGGACAGCAGGCAAATCCCCAACAGCAAGTCAATCCGCAGCAGCAACAGCAGGCAAATTCGCAGCAAGAGCAGGCCTCCCTGAGGGAAAAGATCTGGACAGGAGTGCTGGAATGGTCAGAGAAACCAAAATCGGATCAGCAGAAGATTCCTCACACGCTCCAGTGCACTGTGTGTACCAACATCAAAGACGGCGAGCCCGAGATTAAGGCTGAAAACTGGCCGCCTAAATTATTAATGCAGTTGATGCCCAAGCACCTGGTCGGCAACATTGGCGGGCAGTTCCTTAAAGACTCAAAGATGGTTGTTTTTCGACCCACTCCGGGAGAGGCACTAGATTCATTGGCTAAGATGATGACCTCCGGGTATGCTGGCTGCGTCCACTTCTCCTCAATTCCCAATTCACCCGCCTGCGATCTCAAGGTCCTCATTTTACTCTACACGCCCGATCGCAATGCCTTTCTGGGCTTTATTCCCAACAATCAGGCAATGTTTGTGGAACGTCTGCGCAAAGTCATACAACAAAAGCAGCATGGCAATATGCAGCAGCAACAACAACAGCAGCAAATGATGCAACAACAGGGAAAGTCACCTATGGAGCTTCAGCAGCAACAGCAACAACAACAGCAGCAGCAACAGATGCAACAGGACAATTCGCAGCAACAACACTACAACCAGTACCAGCTCAACATGCAAATGGGCGGTGGTGGTCCAGGCGGAGGACCTGGTCCTGGACCAGGCGGCATGCCAATGCAGCAGAACCAGATGCAGATGAATATGATGCAGCAACAGCGAATGCCATTGGGCGTTGGCGTTGGACCCGGTGGCGTTCCTAATCCTAACCTACAGCAGCAGCTGCAACAAGTGGCACCAAATGTGGCCGCTATGCAGCAGCAGCAGGCGCAACAGCAACAACAGCGTATGGTGCGTCCGATGATGAACAACAATAACCCGGGACTACGCCAGCTCTTGCAGCACCAAACAACGCCAGGCAACCAGTTCCGACCGCAGATGGGAGGCCAAAATCCTAATCAAATGGGAGCTGGCGGGCCTATGGTCGGTAATCGCAACTTCGATGACGGCAGCTACGAGTTTTTGTAGGCTTCTTTAAACTATAGTTAATATACTAACATATTTGATACAGTCCAACTCGAAACTAGTTTTTTTTCTTAAGACTTAATCTATGTATAAGCATAGAATGTGCTTATAACAATTATTGTTTCTCCTATTACCCAAGTTGAACATAAAACCGTAATTACATTCGAAATTTTCGTTTATTAAATTAGTAAGGATCAAAAGTGACAGAAGACCAATTTAAATATAGCGAATATTAATCACAGACCACAAACTAAAAGGGAAGTCAACTAATTAGATCCACCGCCGCCGCCACCTCCACCCGATGAAGCGGAACTGGCATTCCCGGCGCTAGCGGCAAATACCTTCCGGATATTTTGCAGGATGCTAATGAGTACTGTGCCCGCAGTTCCCAACGTCTCCAGGACATCGAAGCCTGTACTATCAATGGCTGTCTCACGATCCTCTTCCGTTTCGATTGCCGGAGAGCTAATATTCCCGGCAGGATGATGCGTTTCATGAACCCCATGGTGTCCAATTAACCGGTGGGTATTACTTTTAACATGGGAGTCGTTCACCCCACCACCGCCCACCGCATTAATTAGATGCTTGACCGGCTCCAGAACAGGAATAGCCAACTTAACACGATGCCACTCGTCCGATGATTCAGTGAAGCCCTCATGCTGCTCTCCAGTGCTCTCCATCTCATCATCAAGCTTATTGCGTTCACTGACTGGATCGTCATCCGTTTCCAAGGATAGCTCCAGGCTCATATTTCCCGTTCCCGGTAGTTGTAACAAGCTGCCAAAGAGTTGCTGCAAATGCGCCGAGTTTGTGGCCTCTGCTTCATTCTGTTCGAAATTAAATTCCTCACGAACTCCCGACTTTGGCTTTTGGTTTACAAAGCTGGTAACATGTTGCATTCCATTTTGAGGTTTAGAATCAGGTGAATTGGTTGGCTTGGCGGACGTCGTCGTCAGCAGTAGCAACCACAAAAACTGCAGATATATCCAAGAGAAATGGAATCTTTAATTGGCGCTTAATGACCGGCTACACGTACGATAATAAATATTGAATAAGCTCGATAATAAGGCTTTCTATATTCAAATCCTACCGCACACGCGTCGTTGGACCTTGAATTCGTTCTATTAGATATGACAATACTGCAAATCAAAGATGAGTTTTGGAGCTATGATAAATCATTTGTCTATGCTGTTTTGTAATACAAAAAAAAAACGATCCAAATAAGAAAAATATGTTTCTTATTCATCTGCTTAGTCAACTTTTATTTATATTTATTTATGATAACTATAGACTTATAATTTTTACTTGTGATCAAAAATATCAAAATATGATTAGAATTATATAATTTTTTGTATTTCTGTCCTTACAATAGGGAACCCTATTTAGAAAACATATAATATTAAGAATAACGATATTTAAAAAATATCTTAAAATGCAAAGACAGATGCATTTCTTCGTTAGTAATATCACTTGACCTACACCAATTTTAAAATGATATCTCTTTCAATAGTTTATGAGTCACTACTGTTTTTCTAAAAACCCATTTTATAAATTAAGCCATCATCAATTCCCCTTTTAAATCACAATGCCAAGTGTATGCTTACATTCAAAAAGACGATTAAACATATGGAACTATATGTGGAACTGGCCAATCGCAACATTGTCAATGAAATATACGGATCTAGCTGTTGGCTAGAAATCGAAACTGCTACCGAACCCGAAATAGAAACCGCTGTCAGCAAAAGCAAAAATCGAACTGAATGGCCAATAAATACTTGGGTTACCAGAGCCCAGCTGAAGGTAGTTTGCCGGTCTGACAGTTAATTAATATGCAACAACTGTAGGGGCAATTGTAGTACCTAAATTTAATTCAAAGTGCATTTAGAGGCCCCGAAAAAATAGATTTTACGGGGCTTGGAAGATATGATATATGGTATCATATCTGCAACAAAATGGTGCACTGATGGACTTAATAAAGAACTTCCATCATGAACTTATCAAGCTATAAGCTCTATAAAACAGTAGGCTTTTGAACTTACTTTCTCATTTTCACTATAGTTTTTATTCAGTCCTTAAACACAGAGCACAGCTATAACATCTATTTAAAGCCAAAAAAAATTTACCTAAATTCAAAATTCCTAGTTTAGTTTTGGCCCATTTGACACAAGTGCGAATATAGTATTATGCGTATTTTTGGAAGAAATAATAACTTCCTTCAGGTAAGCTGACCTTTAAAGCCTATTAATGCCATATAAGGACATATATTATGGACAATGAATTAAGAAGGAAAGTAGTAAGACCCTGCTCTACAAAGATTATATATTTTTGATCAAGATCAAAAGCCTAGTCTGCTTAGCAATGTTCGTCCGTCTGTCAATATGGACTGTTAGGATTGAGCATGCAATAAAGTATATACACATATTTTTGATCAGTATCAATAGCGATTTCGATTAAGCCGTGTCCGTATGTCCGTCCGTCTGTCCGTATGAACGCTGAGATCTCAGGAACTATGAGATACAATGCTGAGATTAGGCAGGCACATTCTTTAGGTCCCTTCGCAGCGCAAGTTTATTTCAGCATTCTGCCACGCCCAATATAACGCTCACAAACCGCGGAAAACTGTGTCGTCCATAACATTAAAGTGTATGTCTTCGTTTGACCTTGTATAACTTATTTCTGTTAATATCTATCGATTTACCAAAGATTTTTCAAATCCAAACATTATTTCGCTACTTTCAAAGAAATGTAGGCTATAAGGCCTGACATGGGCAGTAACGTCACTATCAGTTGCTCAACATGCTTTCTCTAACAATAGGTGGATATACGCTATAGTCGAGTGCCGCGACTATAAGATACCCGTTACTGTTTTACACAATTTTAAAATATTCACTTTGCTAGTGGAAATTCCCCAAGCGCCACCTATTTTTTGTCGGAGAAAGCATGTTGAGTAACTGTTAGTGACGTCGACTTCGTTATTGATCCTGATCAAGAATATATATACTTCATAGGGTCAGAAACGCTTCCTTCTATCCGTTACATACTTTTCAACGAATTTAGTATATCCTTTTACTCTACGAGTAACGGGTATAAATATATAAACATAAATTATGTATATCCTTCTAGTAAGCATAATTTAAATTACCAATACGATATGCGAAAAATACGGAAATCAGTAGGCTTAGCATTTTTATGTTATCTTTTGACTATACTAAAATATCATTTTCCTTTAGTAAGTTCTACCCTACACACCATTTCGGTTTCTCCTTTTTAAAAGTGAAATTTTGTCGTGATTAACTTATGTTTTCGTGATAAATTAAAAAAAATTAAATAAATTAAAAACAGAAATGTTCGGTAACACTAATCGCGTTGGACCGAATCTTCTTCAGATATCCCGATGCCTGAGCTACCATGCACCACTCTTCCGACCGCGTCACCTACTGCTACCGAAGCCGTTGAGTCTGTTGTGCAGAGGTGCCAGCTTGGGATCCAAATGTGACTCATCCAGGTCGTGTCCGCGTCCAGAAATTTTCGGAAAAGGGAAACAATATTTTCTCGATCAGCGATAATGTGGACATGTTACGCAAGCGGATTAGCTTCTCTGGAACATCCGGGACTGCACCGAAGATTCTTCCAATTGGATTGATTACACCGGAAACTGGAGATGGCAAGGACCTGAAAATCGTCATTGTGCCTTTGGATCTTTCTAGCATGGATGCAAACGCCCTCAAGGATACGCTGGATACCATTAACCAGCTTCGCTTGTACGCTAACCATATCGAGGCCTTTTCCAGCAGCATGGTTGAGGAATACAGTGCATTAAACGAGGCCCTTCAGGATGTGGAGTCGGAAGTTCAGTCTCAAGATCTCACGGCGGAATCAAAAGCCGATAAACATAAATTCTGGGAGACCTATTCATCGTCGTCAACGACAGATGCAGTGGGAACCACAGCGGATGCTAACCAAGTTACCAACATGCCCATGGAGCGCCAAGCGTCTGTCAGTAGTTGCCTTCAAAACGCTATGGCAGTTCCCAGCAGTCCAGCAGCTATCAAGCCTCCTCTAGGAACTGCGAAGTACATGTCGGCGATGCCCCAAGCTAAATCCATTCAAGAAACTGCTGCAGAACCCAATCTCCAAGAGTTTTCCGCCCAAGACGCAGACTTCATTGAAGAGGTGCGAGTGGATGTGCCGCAGGATCTGACAAATCGGCTCAACGAGATGGCCGTTTCCTCCATGGAGCTGTCCTTTGAAATGGACATGACGAACCTAAAAGATGCTCTTGAAAACAAGGACACAAATACTGAAACTGATCAGGATCCTATGATCTGTATGCACACCAAGGTGGAACTAGACGCGCCGGGCGCAGTGCAGAATACGCTTCCGCTTAGGTTTAACGCCTTGATATCTGGTGTAGTCCAGATCGATCCCCAGAGGCTAAATCTTGATCAGCTGACGGACGAAAAGATGCCCGCCTTCAACGATGACCTTACATCGCTGGCTGCCAACCTTTGCAGCACTGCCTTAGAGAATGGTTTTGCCGGAAACTCGGACACCTCTGACACCTCTGACCCCTATATTGCCGATCTGGAATTAACCAAGGATGAAGAAGTCTTTCCAACCAAGATCATCGACACGTCCTATATGTCACCTGCTAACCATGTAAACCACAAGAATCTAGCTATGCAGAAGATCGCCGAGGAAGCTTCTATTGTCCCGGGCACCCAGGAGGTTGAGGTCCCGGTTCCCGTCGACAAGGACGGCTGCAAGCATCCACCTGTCAAGCCCAAGCGCAAATGTCCTGGTAAATGCCCTCTTATTACAGATCCATGCAAGGAGGATCCCTGTGAACGTCCTGAGAAGAAAAAGGCGCCCAAGAAGAAAGCCTTAAAAACCACAGAAATCACTTCCATGGCGAAGGGTGGCGACAAGAAGGATCCTTGTGCAAAGGATAAGAAAAAGGATCCTTGCGCAAAAAAAGACGATAAGAAAAAGAAGGATCCTTGTGCTAAATTTAAGTCTGGAGAGAAGAAAGATCCTTGCGCCAAGAAGGATGACAAAAAGAAAGATCCCTGTGCCAAGAAAAAGGACCCTTGTGCCAAGAAGGATGACAAAAAGAAAGGATCCCTGTGCCAAGAAAAGGACCCTTGTGCCAAGAAGGATGACAAAAAGAAGGATCCCTGTGCCAAGAAAGATGACAAAAAGAAGGATCCCTGTGCCAAGAAGAAGGATCCCTGTGCCAAGAAAAAGGACCCTTGTGCCAAGAAGGATGACAAAAAGAAGGATCCCTGTGCCAAGAAGGATCCCTGTGCCAAGAAAGATGACAAAAAAAAAGGATCCCTGTGCTAAGAAGGATCCCTGTGCCAAGAAGGATGACAAAAAGAAGGACCCCTGTGCCAAGAAAAAAGATCCCTGTGCCAAGAAGGATGATAAGAAAAAGAAGGATCCCTGTGCCAAGAAAAAGGATCCCTGTGCCAAGAAGGATGATAAGAAAAAGAAGGATCCATGTGCCAAATTTAAGAAGGGAGGCAAGGATGGTAAGGACAAGTGTGCCAAAAAGAAAGACCCTTGCGCCAAGAAAGATGATAAGAAAAAGAAGGATCCCTGTGCCAAGAAGGATGATAAGAAAAAGAAGGATCCTTGCGCCAAGTTCAAGAAGGGAGGTAAGGATGGCAAGGATAAATGCAAATTCTCTACCTTTTCTAGGCGTGGAGACCCAAGCAAGCGTTACTTGTCTACTGCCTTAAACCAAATCATCCGAGAATCTGATTCTGTTCCGCGTGGTCCCCGTTTCCAAGTCTATTCCACTCTGGTGCGCCGTCACTACCGCGCCCCCGCTTTAAAGACCTACAACTCCTGCCAGTGCTCCCTTTGCAAGGGTCGCTTGATTCACAAGGCAGTTGCTCCTGCTCGTTTTACAATCAACAGAAGCCTCCTACGACGACGCTTTGGTGGTCTTGGAAGAAAGATCTCCCCCGGAGCTCTTACCAATTACAACAATAGGGGCAAAAAAAGCAAGTCCGGCGGCAAGTGCGGCCAAATGGCAACCAAATATCCTAAAAACCGGGGAAAGGACATTAAGGAGCGAACTGGGCTGCGAGATGATTGCTTCGGTGACGATGAAGGCCAATGTTCAGTCAAGAGCTGCACTGGAAAATGCGCCAAGGTCAAGTTCCCAAAGAAAAAATGCGAACGGAAAGAAAAAAAGGACGATGGTGCGTACTGATCTCATTTCTTGTTGGTAAAAAGTTCCACAGGTCAATTATCTCTTCCCAAGGCAGAATAGGCAATCTCTTAGCTGGGAATAACTTTGCCAGCCTTCACCAGCATTTAAGATCTTACAGCACTAAAATGAGTTGCCAACAATCCGAGTCACTAATATCGGACGAAGAAACAATTCCTAATGATCAAGCTTATGCTTTGCGTATTTCGAATTCCTACGAGGTCAAAGTGGTTCCCGTTTCCAGACCTCGACCAAAGGATTTCGGTATAGTATCCCTTAAAAATTAACAAGAAAATCCCAAAAAGTTTCTTTTTTTTAAGCAGACGTCCTTATTCGAACGGGTTCTGTGGCCATTTCGAACTCAGACATCCATGTCTATGAGAATGGGAATCGCGATATAGAAGCCATGTCCCTGGGCCACGATGCTACGGGATTCGTGGAGGAAGTCGGCCGGTGCGTCCATCATCTGCACATGGGTGATCGCGTCGTCATGGAATCTGCTTTATCCTGCGGCATTTGCGACTTATGCAAGCAGGGCGTATACAACATGTGCTCCGGATTGGTGTATAATGGCTTTCTAAGCACCTACCAAACTCATCCGGCTGACCTTTGTCACCGGCTTCCCCCATCCATCAGCATGCAGGAGGGTACCTTAACCCAAACTCTAGCCCTAGGATGTCAGGCGTGCTTTAAGGGCAATATCACGCCAACCAGCAATGTTCTCATCCTAGGGTGCTGTCCAACGGCAGTAGCGGCTGGCCTATGCGCCAAAGCTATTGGTGCTAAACGTGTGGCGATTGCTGGATGTCTGGCTCCAGCTCTGGATGTTATTGCTCGGGACTTTGGTTTCCAAGCCGTTGAATTCGACAGTAATGCCCTGTTCGGAGAGGTTCTTGAAGCCATCTACAACAAGTTTCGAGACTGGCCAGATTGCGTTATAAACTGCTCCATTTCGGCGATGACAATGAATCTGGCGGTCATGGCGTTACGTCCTTGTGGGATATGTGTGCTGGCTGAGTGCGATTCGGAGTGTGCCAGCTTTAATGCTCTTGACGTCCTTATGAAAAACATCCGCCTTGTGCCCAGCTTTCGATCTGCCAATATGTGAGTTAACAAATGACTTGATAGTTACCCATTTAATTTATTATGTTCTTTAAATTATAGGTATCCTACTGCACTCCAACTAATGGAATCTGGTCGAGCAATCATGCACAAGTTCATAACAGCCACATATCCCTTAAGCCAGGCGGAGGAAGCTTTTAGAAATGCGCAGCACGAGTCCAATATTGGACTGGGAAAGGTAATTGTTAACTGTGCGGAAGAAGTAGACATCGAGGATCATTTGAAGAGAAATTCAAAACCGGCATCCTAAAAAATTATAGTCGTAAAAGCTGTGTAAAAGATGGCATTGAAGAATCTAATATGACCCTGTGTTTTCGCTTTTAAATTGGGAATTAAAATAAAACAATAATTATTAAGTATTGCAACAAAAATCGCTTCGCATTTTACTAAGTTCTGCGTGGCCCATAAAACAATTAATTTGAAAGTGCGCTCATAAAAATACTTTTAAATAAATATTCTTTAACAGCATTCTAGAATCTATCGTCTCTGGCTCATCAGTTGATTTGTTTGTTTATGTGTATACATACATTCTTTATATATATAGATATATATAAATATATTTTAAAAAATTATTATTGTACTTCGCTGCTTACAACAAACTATTTTACAATTTTACAAGAACGAAAGTGACTCACTAAAGGTGTGTATGCTAAGGGGGGAATCAATGTACACAAAACGAAAAATGAAAACATAAGCTAACAACAATAATTATAATAATGCATACATTTTTAATTTTTTAAGCATTTGACTACATCGCACACTTTGGAACATTGCTTGGACTGAGTATAAATAATAATTAGAGCTAACTAATAAGATTTAAAGATATGCCATTTTATATGTGAGTTTGGAACTAATTAATGGACTGTTTTGTGGTTTCGGTTGCCTATGGTACTGTCGCTTTGCTGGTTATTTGTTCCCTGGTTGGTTTTGGATATAGCTTTCCAATTACTATCGATCGTTTGGTCAACAGTAGTTACATACATATATACTAGTAGAATCGTCAGAGTCTAAAATAAAATCCACTCGCTCTGCCACTCGGAGCATACGATCTTGAAGGTAGTTTGTCTTTTGGTATTCAATCATATTCATTTCCGTTGCTAGTTGTCATGAATCTGCATTTCCAGTTCCACATCCGAAAGATTTATTTGACGCATCGAATTGATAAACATGTAGCGAGAAGTGTAGATGTAAAGCCAGCGAAACCACCTCATCTGCGAGTGGTGCTCCTTCATTGCGCTCCTCACAATCGCAGCCTCCTTCCAGTTCAATATGCACCTAAATAATAGAGAACTTAGATTATAAATAATACTTGCATCACATTTCATACCAATGTGTAGACATAAAGCACGTGCACAGCAGATCTAAGATAGACAGATATTTTCTGACCACATTGATTGAATCCAAGGTGTAAAACTTGCAATCTGCATTGGGAAGATACATAAAAAATTGCTGTATACTATAATTTCTAAAACTATTAATAGCGACAACTGCAGCGATGGGCATGCCAATTAACATGCACCCATTGTTTGCACCCGTCGCCGCCCGCGTGACTCACACGCCTCCTCACCTTTGGGCAAAAGGTTGGCCAAACAGAGCGAGGCGGCCGCGTAATACACGGCACAATGGTTCGGATGCGAGCTGACGCCATCGCGATCGAACGTGAATATTGCCTGGATGTCGAGGCTTTCGACCGTGTGAAGTATTAAGCTGGCCACCGCATCTGGGCGCCAGTCAACATAGGGGTCATCCGGCAGATTGGTGGCATTCATCAAGACGATGTTAGACTCGGGGATACCGAGCTTGGAGCAGGAACGCCATAATTCCTGACGCCTCACCTTCGCCTTATGCTCGAAGTTTCCTGTTAAAAAAATAAACCTGATTAATTTGGTTCATTTTGATAAGGATAAGCTTATCAGGTGGAAATTGTAAAAAAAAAATTTATAAATGTGAAACCATAATGATTTCATTAGAACGGAGAAAATAACATTTTATCGAATACTAATATATTAATCTTTTTAATTAATTAATATTAAATTTTTAAAAATAAACTAACTTGGGATGTGAGTTTCAAAGGTTGGCCAAAAACTATAAAAAACATACATATCTAAAATGGCCTTTGAAATTTGAAATTGAACATACGTCATGTCTAAAGTAAATTGTTTAAGGCTCAATAAATATACCTTATTATAGGGGATTATTGACGGCTGCCGCACAACAAAATATAGAACCCATATGGAAGCACTAAAGCTTAATAAAGATTCGCTTCTGATTTCGAAACGTGTAATTTCGTTTAATGCTTCCAGATCTATTGTTGGTTAACGATGATGTCACTACTGGTAGACTTACCGTTGGACAGGCAGAGTATGTACACCTGGCAGCCTTGACGCTGCGTTAGCGAATAGATCAACGGCCCAAAGAACATGCACTCGTCATCTGGATGGGCGGTGATCAGAAGGACGCGCTCCATGTGTGCCGTTTTGGGCAACCGGACGCTACGCAGCCGTAGCCCGGATTGTAGAGCTTGCTTTAGTCCGCCTGAATTGGGATTCCCATCCGGATTTGGATTCAGTTCGTCTTCTTCGCCGGATCCGACATAGTTGTTGTCGTTGTTGTGTCTTCCCGATACGGATCCGGAGAGCCAGAAGGTGAGCTTGTAGAGGCCCAGGCATACTAGCAAGTACACCGCACAAGCGATCAATACGTGCTCCAGTGCTTCGGCGGATGATGACCTGATACGGCAGTAGATGGCCTGAGGATTGGGGACGAGCTGCTGGACCTGCTGCTGCAGTTGGCGCCAAGGAGATGTCGATGCAACGCTGCTTGATATGCTGGCCACGTACTCGCTCAGCCAATTAAATCTCATCTCTCATTGCGTCCGGCCAAGGGCGATAATTTTGGCGAGAAATTCTTCACCAAAAATGGACATGCAGCGTTTTGGCAGCGAGGAAAAGCTGAAAAGCGGCGACTACGGTGCTCAGGCTGTTACTTAAACTATGTCACTAAGTTGATGCGTTTCTTAATCGGTAATTTAATACTTGAAAACGTTTAGTTACGAGCCCGCGCGCCGCTTAATCCGCTAATCGCTGCATTTTATTCGAAAACTTTACGTGTTTTTCGCCTTTCGGGGGCAGCAGCTAGTGATGGACGACTGTTGTGGTGCGTGGCAGGTGCGTGACTCACGCGGATTTGTAAGGTTTTCCGATCTGCTTTTAATAGTTGTCTCATGTGCGCCGTGCATCTATAAAGCTGCAATTATCAAATTAGCACTTGAATAAACTGATAAAGTATTTTGTGTCATTCATCGTTCGTTTGCAAAATGCGCGTCGTGAGTGGGTATCGTTCCATCTCCATCAGTCAGCTGATTAAAAAAGTTCCTTGTATTAGGGGTATTTTTTGTTATTATTCAAAGCTAATATTGTATTAAAATAATTTGTAATAATTGATAAGTTACTTGTTTCTTTTTTTTATGCATTTAAATAAACTATACCTCATAATTAAATATTTATACAAGTAAACTAAATTTAAAATTTAGTATTAAAGAAAGAGTAAAATAGTATGAATACTTATGTACGTAATTGTAAATCATCTATATCATTTTGTCCACATTCATTATTACCAAGGAGTAAGGAAATATACACATATGGTTAAAATGTCTGTCGCTGTGATTTTTATTGCTATTAACTTTATCATGTGACTTTTGAGCACCCCTAATTTTGGCACACTCCGATTGATAAATACCAAAATACCAAAAAAATACCGGAGCCGCTCTTTCCTCTCTGAATATGCAGTCTGAGGTTTTTTTTATTTTGAATTAAATTTAAAGTCACTGATATTCATGAAATTAAGCATTTAAATAGCCTTTAATCGTGTGATTCGAGTGCTCTAGAGCCAGCCGCCCGTCCCCCGACCGCCCAAGTAACACGGGCAACCCGAAGAATTGGTAGAAATAAATTAAAAGACCACAGCGTGCCGCAAACCCCAAAAGAGAGCGAATCTCAGTGCGAGGTGCATGCAGCACGTTGTAATTAGGTTAGCAGCATACAGCAGCACCACATAACATCATAACATGGCACAGCAGCAGGGCATGGACTCGGCCTTGTTCGAGCGGCGACTTAAGCCGGTGTACGGTGAGTGTTCCCTATCGTCAATCAAGTCCACAGGCTAATCACAATCTCACAATCCTATACAGACAACCTAGAAGTGGGCAACAACCGCAAGGCCCTGCAGGAATCCGAAAAGTTGCTTCGCAAACATCCAACTCTCCTCTGCGCTCGTGCGCTGAAAGGCCTATCCCTTCTACGGTTGGGGCGCTACGACGAAAGCCATGGATGCCTTCAGGCTGTCGCCGAGGAGAAACCCACGGATGATTCTACGCTGCAGGTGCTATCATTTTGCTATCGCGAAATGGAGCAACGTACGTATGGGTTGTAGTTAGCCTAGAGGTCTCAAAGATTTAGCCTTTAGCCTATTTAGTACAACCTACCTACAAAAAATAGGGTTACTGATTAGACATTTGCTTGAAAAGATTGCTACATTAACTATAGGGCTAATGAATCTATAAAAATTGGAAATTAGTCCAGATTGGTGATGATGGTACTTAAAATGTTCTTATCTGAATTTAAGCTTTTTACCTCAAAGAAATAGTTTAAATGAATATACATACTTAGGCTGTGGAAGCTTATCTTTCATAAGATAGATGGAAAATGTGTTTACAAGTTTTAACACACTAGGTTAAAAAGTGGACAAGAATTAATAAGTAAAAAATAATTAAGATGTATCTGGAAAAGTTACATATCAGCAATATAAATATTCTTTATTTGTAAAAGTCTAAATTCAATTTTATCACAACTTGCCTAATTTTTCAAGACAGATTTCTTTATTAAATTAACAACAAGGGGAAATGGCAATCGGTTAAACTTTTTTCATTAAACACTATGCTTAATCTGAAATCTGTACTCTATTCCTATTTAAAACTTTACATTTTACACAAATCGCGTAGAGCATAGAAATTGCATAAATTTACATTTCAAAAACATTTTCTAATTTTTAAAACTTTGACCAAAGTAATTATAAAGCCATGTCATATCAAAGGTCATTATTTTGTGTGTTTGCTTGACAATTTTTATTATACAAACGTATTTTTTTTAAAACCAAAATAATTTGGACTCACACATCTACTTTTTCCCACATCCGCCACATGGCATCCGCCAAATGTATCCCCCAGGGACGCCCCTGCCACGCACACGAAGTGCCCACAATTCATATTTTTGTATTTTCTTGGCACGCGCACCTCGCCCGACTAATTAAAATCGCATTCTCTTAGTCGGACGACGGGCGGCAAGTGCGTGCCAACGATCTAAGTATATAGATACCTGTACCTGCAAAAGAGATCGCTAATTATATATAAATATCCGCCTTTTTTGCAGTGGACAAAATTGTGGAGCTGTACCAGCACGCGGTAAAGCAAAATCCGGGCAACGAGGAGCTGCTTGCCCACCTTTTCATCTCGCATGTGAGAGTGGAGGACTACAAGGCACAACAGGCGGTGGCCCTGCAACTGTACAAGGCTCAGCCAAAGAACGCTTACTACTTTTGGTCCGTGATCAGCGTAGTCTTCCAGGGTATCCGGGGGCCGGAGTCAGCGCTGCCCGAGAAACGGAAAATCTACCTGGCACTGGCGCAGCGCATGGTTGACAAGCACATCAAAGAGGGCAAGTTGGAGACGGAGCAGGAGGCCTTCCTTTATCTGCACATCCTCAAGCTGCAGAACAAGTACCAAGAGGCTTGGGAATTCCTTACTGGCGAGCTGTGCGCCAAGATCTATCCAGGTGCTCCAGTCAGCATGAAGTTTGAGCTACTCAAGGAACTTGGTAACTGGCGGGAGCTAAATGAGCTGTTGCAGCAGCTTCTTGACGCAGAGTGAGTTTCATTGAATCTTACAAAAATTGCTATTTTAATATTTTATATCTTTTCCAGTCGCGACCGCTGGGATTTCTACAAGGAGTACATTCAAAGTTCTTTTGAATTGCTTAAGCTTACGTCGGATGCGGAGGAGAACGGGGAGAAGGATTCGTTGGGGAGATGTCAGGAGTTCCTTCAGGGCATCATTGACTCATCGGAGCGCAAGAAACGTGGTCCGTATCTGGCGCGCTTAGAGCTCCACCAGCGCATGCGAGCAGAAAAACTGCCAGCGGAAAAACTTATTGGCGACTTTGACGAAATGGTAATCGAGTACTTCCGGCTGTTTGGCGACAAATCGTGCTGCACCCATGATATTGCCCTGTTCTTGCCTTCGGTTAGCATGAAACAGCGGCAAGCACTGGCCAGTAAACTTTTGTTGGAAAGCGGTGTGAGCTCCACGTCACTTCCGAAGAACGTAAGTAATGTGTGCCTTTGCATTATTAATTTTAATTTAAATTTATAATTATTATATTTAAATTTATATTAATTTAAATTTCTGCAGAAAGAGCAGTTGCAGAAGCATCTTTGCGCTTTGCAACTATCTCGTATGTGCGGTTCTCATATGGAGCTTTCCACGGATCACCTGCTTGCCTTTTACACGGCCCTTAAACTGCACTACGAGCATGGTCGAAGTACTTTTGGTAAAAAACTGCTGGCTACGGAAATGGGACCATCGGATGCGTACGCATTGCTGGCTGCAAACGTGATGTACGATCTAAGTAAAAGAGAAAACAAGTCGGATCATTTGTTCGAGGCTCTGTGCCTGCTGCAGTACGTCCTGCGAAATAGTACTAGTAACTTTCATGTAAAGCTGCTAAGTTTGAAGATATACCATCTGTTTGGCTGCCAGGTCGGCGCACAAGAGATGTACGAGTACCTGGATATTAAGCAGATCCAGCTGGACTCGATGGGCTATGTACACTGCCAGCTGCTGCCTTTATGTGGTCGCTTCTCAGGTACCCGGAATGTATACGATGCCACGCTGAAGTTCTTCACCAACAGCTACAAGGAGCGATTGGAGTATATTGCGTTGACCTATCGATTTTGCACGTTCTCGAAAATGGAAGAGTTCATGAATTTTAAAGAGCGGTTAACCAACAGCTTGCAGTACGTGGCCTGTTCGGTGGAGGCGCAGATCTGTGACCTTGTCAGTTGTTATGGCAATATACAGCAAAATCTGACAGCATATACTGCAATGAGCATTGAGCCGGCGGAAGACCGCATCGCATGGCATGAGTTGAGTGACAATCGCGACTTGGGAGCCATCATCCGCTGGGATCCTCTTCATGAGGTAGATGCTGCGGAGGAACGTAAGGAGTCCTTTGATCAAGAGGTTGAGGTTCTGCAAGTGCGCTCCCTGATGCTCAGACTTTTTGCCTCTTTTATTGACTTGTATCACGGATCTAGCGTTAAAGACACACCCGCGGGAGCGGAGTCCGCAACCCTTGAACTCTTGCGGGAGTCTTGGACGGGATTATTTCAACGTTTGCGTCTAATGAACTACAAGCCGTTGGCGCAAAAGTTTCTAGTCAACCTGTTGCCCACACGCCTTACCCTGCTCCTCGAGCTACCGTACGAACGTTTCTTCGACGACCTGGCCCAGTTGGTACTTGATTTGCAAAGCGGATCTGGAAAGCTGGCCGAGCAGTGCAAGCGGGTGGGTGACAATGTAATTACAGTTATGGAGTTGTGCGTTCAGACCATCAACGAGAGTAACGAATGTAATGCTGTTGACGGTTTGTGGAAGCGACGGGGGCAGCAGCAGAAGGTGGCTGCTAGTTTGGAAGTCAGTATATCATAATACTTTAAAAGTTAGAAACAGCTTAACTAAATTCTTGCAATTTTAGATGTTTTCACTTTATGCCTTACTGCTGTCTGTGCTACACGACAAGCTGCAGGTCAGCTCTAAGGCCAAGACCAAAAGAGGCCTGTGGACAACAAGTTGGATGGACCCCAACCGATTAGCGAGAAGGAGCGAAGTCAGATGTTGCAGGAACTAATGCGACAACTTAAGCATAAGCTTGAGACTTGCGATGCGACCATACGTAAGTATCTCTATCGATTTTCTTGCAGAAAAATAAAGGTGAATACTTTTTTCTAGGCACCTGGAAGGCGCCGGTCCTGCCACACGATCTTAGCTCCTTCATGGCTGATATGTCGCTAAAGCCGGAGGTAGAGGCGACGCTCATTAGTGATGTCTCGGCCACTTTTAAGGACTCCCACGAGCTGATGGTCACCGAGTTGCGCAATCTGCTTAAGGACAAGATACGCATGGTGGCCAAATAGATGCTTCTTTGCTGTGCAAAGGCCATCAGCCAGTCCGGCCATCGTTGCCCAATCAGGATAAAAGTTCATAGTTTGTTATTTAATTTTGTTAACGAATACAACCAACCTCCTCCTACTCCTTACTACAATTATCTCGAACAACAGAGCATGTCAGCACTTTTCAATCAATTTTCGGCATTTCCCCTTGTACAACATAGTAGAAGTTGTAAAATTTGTAAAACAAAAGTTAAAAAAGAAACAAAACAAAGAAAAAAGATTGCGTACCGCTTGTAAGTAAGTTAAATAAAAGATGAAAATGTAAATGTACACAAAATTATTTTTATAAAGGGAGAAAAGAAAGATAAAAGGAATAATAATAATTTAAAGTAAATTCTAATTGTGTATACTAATATTACTATAAATTGAACACGTGTTGATCCATAATTTGTATACATATTTCTGCATTTGGGGAATTTGTTGATCCACGTCTTCCTATAAGAACGAGGTAGCGTTTTTATGAAATAGGTAAAGCGTTTCCCATTTTGAACGTATTAAGATAGGCTGGTAATCGGGGATCATTTACATGTTGTTGAGTCTGCAGATGGGCCACCAAATTGTGAATGCGAGCAAAGGTCTTGCTGCAGAGTCGACATCTATTGGAATAGACAATTTACATATGCTAAAGGGAAATATTAGGTTTTTAGAAAAAGTACTCACGTATGAGGTTTCTCGCCTGTATGTGTTTTGTGGTGCATTTTAAGAACACTGGCGTAGGTAAAGGTTTTGCCACACGTTTGACAAGCATAAGGACGCTCATTTCGATGAGTTCTAAAAGGAGTAAGTATCCATAAGCATTCCATGAAGAAAATACATAATTTAATAACCAATTAATAATATTGTGCATTTACCTTTCGTGCTTGACGAGAGAAGTGCGCTCCGCGAAACTGCGTTGGCAATATTGGCAGGTGTATGGTTTTGCTCCAGTGTGCTGGCGGATGTGGCGCTTTAATTGGTAGTTGACGTGGAAGCACTTGTGACAGATCCTTAAAATGTTTCATTGCTATGTATTCAATGAATTCAAAGGGAAACCACTTACTCGCATTCGTAGGGACGCTCATTGTTGTGCCGCCGCATGTGAGTATCCAGGGTACTTTTCCTGGGATACCCATTGCCACAGATCTCGCACACATGAAGTTTAGCAATTACTGAAGGTGAGGGAGTTGAAGAAGGAACAGGATCTTGGGCAGGAACTGTTTGCTCTGCCAGAACCATGGGATTTTCCTTCTCCACCGGTTGTTGTGTTGTCTCATCAATCAGATCTTCGGTTGCCCAGGCTTCCTCCTCCAGCAACTCCACCTCCAGTTGTTCGAACTGCTCCGTTTCCGCAGACGGAGCAGGATTAGGATGTGGGACAGGATCCACCACATCCTTAGGCCCTTGCTCAATGTGATCTCTTACCACGTATTCCCTGAGAAATTCATTGGAACGCTGGCAAATCTGTCGGAATTTGTGTGCCATGGTTAGGAAAACCTTGCATCTGAGACATATCCTGGTAGGCAGAACCTCCTCCTCCGTGGGTTTTATCTGTAGGTGCAGCTGAATTTTAATTCTAAACAGCATAACAATTTTTTAAATCTAAACCTGAATTCCACTCAAGCTTTCGATTTTATCGCAGAGGGAAATACCGCCGCGCAGCTTATCATCTGCTGAATCGTAGATGGACACCATGTGGGCTTCTCCGTCCTGTAGGCAGGTCCTACACAAGGTCAGCATATTCAATCTTAGCTCCATTTGAATTAAACGAATGTGCCCACAAAAATTAACGATCAAAATAACTGTGCTTCCTCTTTCCCATTTTGCTATTCATCGATATTTATCGAGAGACCAATTGGCATTCGCACGGCAGCCGCAAAATTTTTAATTGTTTGCTCAGGAATAACATTTTCAGATATGCACTTTGGAATTTTGTCTAGTGATAACAGAAGGATGCGTCCGCATATAAAGAACAAGGAATTACATTGTCGGATCTGTTTGGTGCAGCCACAGAATGAATCCCTCATGCCTACGGAGCCGGATTTTCCGGTACAAATAAAGCGTTGCACGGGAGTTGATGTGAGTTTTTAAAAAACTTTTTTATTTATAATTTTTATACAATAAATATGTCTTCTCTTATCCGCACAGCTTAGTGAGACTCCCAACTGGCCGAATCACATTTGCACCAGCTGCGCATTGCTTCTTAGGGCGGCCCTTAAACTGCGATCCCTTTGCCAGAAAGCGGAGAAGGAACTGGAGGAGCAGCAGCTGCAGGAGATTCACATACAGATTATTCATAATGACCAGGATATGAAACAGAAATGTGATGATGGCTTAGACCAGCCAAAAAAGTTGACTTCTGGCAGTGATAGCGAACTTGAGTACGAGTTCCTTGAATCCTATGATATGACGTTGGACAACAACGAGGATGCGGATTGTAGTGCCGATGAAATGGTCAGCATAGAACCAGCTAACTCAGTGCCAGAAGAATCCGCCTGTTCCCTAAGTCCCAAACCGGCAACCGAAGACGAAGAGGACTCCAGCCAGACTCCTTGCTTTGTCTGCACTATATGTCAGAATGTATATACGGAGAGGGTCAAGTTATCCAACCACATGAAGGTCCACAACACAGAGAAACCACACGAGTGCGAGTAAGTAAGGTAATTAATTTATCTAAGTTGTAGTTGTTGTACCTTCTTTTCTTACAGAATCTGCCACAAACGATTTCGACAAACTCCGCAGCTGGCGAGGCACATGAACACGCACACTGGCAATCGACCATATAAATGTGATTATTGCGACTCCAGATTCGCAGATCCCTCCACACGCATTAAGCATCAGAGGTAATAATAACTCTCCATTTCTAAGAGGATGTCTAAACACAAAAAAAAGATATTTCTCTTTATAAAGATTTAAATAAAAAATAACCTCTCCTGAAAAATTCTAAATTATTTATGTTCCGCCACATTATTTATTTATAAGTTATGACACCTTTTAAGTGAAAAAGTTCTTTTGTTATTATTTTTACATACAAATAGCATTTAATTTTTTTAGGATCCACACAAACGAACGGCCATACAAATGCAAGTTTTGCAGCAAATCCTTTGCCTACTCTAATGTTCTTCGGGTTCATCTCACGACCCATACTGGAGAGCGCCCTTTTAGCTGCCAGTACTGCCAGAAGACATTCTCCCAGCTGCACCATAAAAACGCCCATGAAAAATCGCACAAGTCCAAAACATGAGCAAAACATTTGAGTACAAATAAATTAAGTTTTTATGACACGTAAAAATATACTTTAGTCTTCTTAAGTTTTCAGTGACGAAAATAAACCTCTTTATAAACTTTTTAGTATTAGTTGAACCTATCAATAAATAAATTAAAAATAAGATAATAAATATGAAATTACCCCAAAACACGATTACAACAGACAAACTGTTGCTACTCTCGGTTCTAAGTATAAATCCACAGACTTTTTAATGGAAGAGCTATAACAATGGGCTTTTTGAAATCTAAAACTAATGGGTCTTATCCATATCAACTTAAAGAAAACAAGTCCTTATTTGTTTAAATATTTTTTGGATAATTAACTGGGGGTCTCTGCCGACTCCTCCTTAAGACTCCCTCCTTCGGCGTTCATTTCCACATCAGGTTTCCATTGGCAGGAACCACGCCTTTCGTGCGTTCCACGATGCAATCGCATCTTATAGGCCTTCACAAAGCCTTTGCCACAAATATCACAGCTGAAAGTGATTAAGGATAAAGCAGGGAGATCAACAGTGAAAAAACTAAAAACTTACACATGCGGTTTCTCCCCCGTGTGGATCATCTTGTGAAACTTGAGGTTGTCCGAGTAGGTAAAAGTTCTAGAACAAACGTCGCACTCGTAGGGACGCTCCTTGGTGTGAATTCTAAGAAAGATTTATAGTTTGTTAATTGTACTTATTGTTAAAAAAAAAATATATACCTATGATGTTTAGTTTTGGTGGAACGATCGGCGAAGGCAGCTGGACAATAATTGCATTTGTATGGACGATTTCCTGTATGCGTGTTCATGTGGCGCACCAGTTGTTGATTCTGGACAAAGCCACGTCCGCAGATCCTGTAAAGCAATATGTTATAAGGAAAGAATACTTTTGATTTTATAACTGAAACTCACTCGCACTCGTGTGGTTTAACACCAGAATGGAATTTCATGTGCTCGGTAAGACGCGCCTGAGTGGGGTAGATATTCCCGCATACGTCGCAGATGTAAGTGCAGAGCTTGTTGCGCGGTTTCCTGCCCAGCTTCTTTTTGGCAACTTCGATATCTGTAGTGGTTACTTTAGCTGGAGCTGGCATTCTTGTCAAACGCTGGCGAGTAGTCGTCGCTGCGCGAGCTGGCTTTTCCTCAGGGACATAACTTTCATCGGAACTGATTATATCCTCGGTCCCGTCATCATCTGGAAGTTCTTCTGTGGTCAAATTTGTGTCAGAGTGGTGCTCATCTGTTGGATTATTGCTGGTAAGCAGTTCATATTCTTCATATACTGCGTAGGATTCTGTGTCCTCAACCACAGTCTGGGCTACATCAAAAACAGCCTGCGGAGGATCCTCTTCATCGAGCAAAACAGCATCAGCGCACTCGGCATCTTCCACTAAGTAGGTAATAAGATTCTGTTGATGCTGTTCTGGATGGTCAAACCCCATGTCCTCCACTTTAAATGCCTCGCATAGTTGGTTGGCATCCTCCTCCCAAGTCTTCACCACGCTCTCCACCGTTATATCTTCCGAGAGGTTAAGGATGTCACCATCGCCAGATGCTTTGGTATTACAGGCCTCCCGGTCGAGCATATCCATGATGTGCTGGTGCGACCGCTGACAGGTCAGTCGGAACTTATAGCAGAGCCGCAGGCAGCGTACACACTTGCTGCACATTTTGTCGGGAAAATTATCACCTACACTTACCTGTGGGGAAGGGAATCTTCCATTAAATGTGACAATAAAGTTAGGAGTTTATACTTACTGGTATGCCTGCGCAAATGTGTAGCATCTGATCTAATCGAGTGTAAGCCGTTTGACTGAATATCTCGTGGAGCAGCTCCTCGCCGTCGCTGGGATTGTTCAGACAAACGCGGCACACAACCCACTTTTCGTTGGATTCCGTTTTCATCGCGATTTCTTTGAATTTATAAATATTCCGACGCAGTTTTGGTTTTGTTCTTGTCGAAATTTCAACAGCTGAATGAAAGCGTCCACGGCCAATAGCCATTCACAGCGGAATGCGGCATCTTCAGTTGAAACGGTAAATACTGCCTTTAAATCACGTTTGATTTAAAAGGAATATCTGTATGATTACAAAAAAAATTAAAGTTTTATGATAGCATACATTTAACAGTAGTTTTTAGTTTGTTGTTTTAAATATTTACTTCTTTATACTTTAATATAACACATTTGAAATAATTTACAATATTTTATAACCTTTATCTAAAACACCGCTAAATGAGATTATATTTGTTTTCCAAACAGCGAACTCCATTGAATTTTATTATTCTAATATTGTATGCACTTCTTCACTTTGAAAATGTAAAATAAAAAAAATTCCAATATTACAGAAAATTTTCCTGGAAACTGAATACCCCTTATTAGAAATCACCGTTGCCGTAGTCACCCTGTGCAAAGCCATTCGCGTTGCAACGCGATCATCTGGCTCCAGACTACATTATATTTTTTTGGCGTCGTCTTCGTCCAGCAAGCGTGTTCTTCAAAATAAAAAAGCGTAGAATAGCTATCTGGAATAGATCAACGTTCTTTTCGTGATAATGAGAGATTCGACGGCACAAGCGAGTCCGTCGGCGATGCCAGCGACCACGCAAAAGTGGATCGTTTGCCGGGTTTGCCTCCAGCAGCCGAAAGAGCCCATGGCCAGCATTTTTAACGATGATTCGGAGAAGGACCTGACAAATATGATCCGGGAATGCGGAGGAGTGCCCGTAAGTGTGTCCCATCAGTTCAGGAACTATTTTACATTCTTCCAATCCATTTTGCAGATAAAGCAGTTCGATCATTATCCGGACAAGATATGCGAGAAGTGCTTTAGAGTGCTGAAAATGGCTTTTAAGTTCCGTGAGACTTGCCAGCGATCTTATGGCCATCTACGGCAGTTCGTGGGTCCCGTGGAGGTGGAGCAGCGAACTCCAGAAAAGAAATCTCCAGAACAAACCACCAAACAGGAGCAGGAACCCGAGGAGGTGGAACAGGAACAAGAGCATGAGCAAGAACACGAGGAAGAAGAAGATGAGGAGGATCTGGATGAAAGCCAATATGTCGAGGGCGAGGCGGAGGAGCCAACGGAAGTTCATGGAGGAGTCTTTCACGACGAGCTTGAGGAGGGCATTCTCGTGGAATTGGAAAAGGATCGCATTGTACATGTGAAGAGCGAGCAGGTGGAGGAAGATGGCATCATTGAGGAGATGTACGACGTGTACGAGACCTATGAAGGTGACCTTATTACAGACCAGGCCGTTTATGAGCAAGATATGGCCGATCAATCGCTTTCCGAGCTATCAGCAGAGATTGAATACTTAGACCAGGTCGAACAGGATCAATTGACCGAAAGTGCTCACGAGGACGAGGTAGAAGGTGATCTGAACTCAGCCGAGGAGGAATTCATCCCTACAAAAAGTGTTCGAGCATCCATCAATGCCCGAGGTGTAACTAAGCGCAGAGTCAATCCCCGCAGGTCAGCTACATCAACAGCTTCGGTGGCTGTAGCGTCGGGAACCTCCAAATCAAGTGCCCGCGGTAGTCCGCTTAAAATCCGGCGTGGAAATAATGATTCAGCTGGTACTAAGATTGCTCTCAATTCCGAGGAGTCCATCTCAATAGGAGAAGTGCTGGCGCGAAAGCATTCAGGGATTAAGACCAAGGGGGGTCATAAGATCCTTGTCGGTGACCAGAAGGAGTTTAAGTACATCTGCGATGTATGTGGCAACATGTATCCCTCACAGAGTCGACTTACAGAGCACATAAAAGCTCACTCCGGCGTGAAGCCGCACGAGTGCGAGTAAGTCAAATTTTGAATCTTTTAGTATTTGCAGAAATATGATAACAAATTTAAATTCACAAAATTCTTAAACTGAATATTTATTTTTTAGAATCTGTGGTCACTGCTTCGCTCAGGCTCAACAACTGGCGCGCCACATGAACACCCACACTGGAAATCGGCCGTACAAATGCAGCTACTGCCCGGCAGCTTTTGCGGATTTGTCCACACGAAACAAGCACCACAGGTATGTTGGTAGCATCTTAGGAAATTTGGAAAAAAAATTTAAAAAAAAACCATCTGCAGGATCCATACCAACGAGCGTCCCTATGAGTGCGACGTCTGCCACAAGACATTCACGTATACCAACACCTTAAAGTTCCACAAGATGATTCATACGGGAGAGAAGCCGCATGTGTAAGTTTCGCTTTCCCTTTGGAAATAAAGTCCAACTTCTCTAGCATGAGCTTTCAGTATTTGTGACAAATTTCATGTTCAAATTTATACAAAAACAGTAATGAATTTTACTGACACTAAGAATAATAATTTTTGACCAAATTTAATCTCTAAATTATTTCAAAACAACAGTCTATTTTTATGATAAAATATTATTTCTTTCTCCAAAAGAAATCCTTTAAAAAGATATTCTTTCAATTCTATAAGAATATACAATAGTGGTTATTCATTTTTAAATAGCTAAGCTATTTCATAATCTTACGTAATATTTTATACATAGTATTTCATTGAATGTTATTTAATTGGATAAAAATTGGAAAGTTGGATTTTAAAATTCATACATAGTTTATATGTCATACTTTTTAGGGGTTCCTGCTATTTTATTAATCATTTAATTGCCACGTTTTCTTATAGTTGCGAAATTTGCGGCAAGGGATTCCCACAGGCGTATAAACTGCGTAACCACCGGATCATTCACGAACGACGCGGCCAATCCACAAGGGAATCCGTCGGCGGTGTGATGCCCTACGACACGGCCAACATTGTAGGCCTAGAAATGTAAATTTCGAGCGAGGACATCTCGTCGTCCCAAAGCGACTCTTTAAACATTAAACAGACACACGCGTGTAATTACACATCTAAGTATATTGATGAAATTTAAGCCTAGCCTAATTATGCGGAAATAAATTAAGTATAGCTGCGCAGATGGTCTTGGCGTCGGTCTCCTCCGGATATAGCTGCAGCACGGCATGTACCTGGTGCGGTGGAAACAGGCTACCCAAGTGATAGCGGAGCAATCTTCGCTGCTCATCCCGTGGAAGTTGTTGTGAAGCATGCAGTTCCTCGTTAATGCGCGAATCGGAGGCGGACAGATGCGCGAAATTGTGAGCAGGCAGTGGCAGACCCAGTCCCTTGATCTGTGACCGGGGCGGATGGCGTGCGCGTCAGATACTGGTGGTTATAGTTGGAGCTGGAATTAGACTGTTGATGCTGCTGTTGCACCGGCTGCTGCTGATGTTGTTGCTGAAGAGGAGCGCTGTAGGTGGGCACCAGGAGACGATAGGCGGGCGGCGGCTGTTGCCGCTGCAGCTTCTTGTGGCGATTTGGCTGGCTGGATTCCATAGAGCCCTCAGTAAGCTCCATTTGTGCTGAGAAACCCTGGCACACTTGCTCCAGAGTATTGGACTTTGTGCGTCCCAATGGCTCCCGGCTAATCAGGGAGTTCATCTTAACATTGTTATTATTGCCACCCGGACTGATTATTTGCTGACTACCATTCGTGTGCAGAGGAGCACTATGGGAGGCCTGAAGTGGCAGTCGCTGTAGCAGTGGACCCGGATAATGTCGAAACTTGCATTTTTGACCGTAGGTGCATTTCTTGCCATAAGGACACAACTGTTGCGCATCCGCCATCTTCTGTTGTGTTTGTGAGCACAGGAATAGATCCAAATTCGGACCCGATCTGCCAAGTGGATCATCAGGTGGCATGAAAATGTCATTGACAAATGAGTACATCAGTAGGCGTTCCTGAACCACGCGCCTGAACTCGTTACTCTCCAGGATCAGATCCCTGTAATTGTCGTTAGAGACCACAATGCCATCGGTTTCCACTGCCAACTTGAGTATGAATCGATCATCGTAACAGGAGACACGCTTGCCGTCTAGATGTCGCGATGGAGTAAACACTAAGAACCTTTCATGCTCCAGTTCGTAGAGTACTTCCTGGTCGGCAATGTTGTTGTTGGCCAGCTCCTTGCGCCAGTTAGGAACAAAAGCGGTAATTTCACGATGTCCACGCTGCCGGAACCAGTCGACACAGATGCGAATGCCGCGGCAGGAAAATATCAGGTTGTTGCCGTGGGATAGAGCAACATTACTGCCATCGATGACAATGTGCCGCAGTCCAGAGATGTTGTTGCCAACAGGGGAGGAGAGGGTAGATGGATTAGTACCACTACCGATGTGGGCGGGTCGTGGGGCATCAGCCGTCAGTTTGATTAGCTCCGCCAGCAGCTCATTCTGCTTAGCCTCCGAGCCCAGGCGCGTCAACGCCGAGTGAATGGACTGTTCGCTGTAGCCTAGCTTCTTGGCAAACTCTAGATTCTGGCGCTCCGTCGTCCGACTCAGATTCTCGTCGTCGTCGGAGCAGCTCTCCTGCTTTCTCACTGGCAACTTGTTGCTGCTGTTGAAATGTTGTTGCTGTTGCTGCTGGTGTTGTTGTTGCTGTTGCTGCTGTAGCTGATGTTTTTGCTGCTCCTGCACTTCACAGTTCATTTTGATGCGCATTTAATTGACCAGCGGCTGGCTTTCTTTCTTCTGCTTGCTCCTGCTGTCCAGGAAATATAATTCTTTGAGTTTTTAGCTGTCTCTGCAGCAAGTTCCGTCTATTTACATTTACAGACTTCCGTGGGAGCAGTGTGACCGGGGGTTTAGCGCTGAATAATACCTACCTTCGTTATTAGGAGATGGTCACATAACGAAGGCAAAGTTTTTAAAATTTTGTGTTTAATTTAAATAGTGTTTGTTTAATTTTAACGTTGTCTGTACACGATTTTTAAAAAATTACTCCACGCATTAAATTTAAAATATAAATTTATTTTATAGAGTTATAACATTTTTTTATAAAATAACTTTCTTTTTAAAAATAAAATTTGAGTACATATATTTGTATTATAGTTTAATAAGAGTTTACATGTAGCCCGAACTTATTCATAATTTTTTGATGAATTTTTAAGATACTTAAAAAGTTTGTAAACTGTTGGTTTAAAAATATTTATAAAATAAATGTTTCAAAAAACTTTAATTTGTATATGAAAGGCATAAAGTTTAGTATAAGCAACATTATTTTTCTCTATTTTTGGTTTTAAAAATTTTAAATAACTTTGGCAAAAAAATTAATAAAAAATATGGCAGAGTTTGTTAATAAATATATTTTATATTTCATTAAAACTTACTCAAAAAACTTAAGGGTTAAAAAGGGTTTTTTTAAACATACCTTTTTTCCTTCATACCTTCATCCCAATCAAAAACAAACATGACATTCCCAATACTGTATATATTTTCTACTTCACATTATTTATTTTTTAAATATTTGTTTATAACATTTTCCATTTTATATATTCAATCAAAATCCCAGCTTGAATTCAATAACATGCATAAACATTTCTTTATTGTATTGTTGTACATAAAGTATATATCGTATATATAGTTTTAACAATTTTCACGCTACTTATCAACATTTATAGATCTCACTTAGTTCGATTTAATTAGTTAAAATAAAGTACACATGTTCTTTTTGTCGTATTGAATTCTTTGTTTCATTGTACGTTTGGTCCCCCTTTTCATGACAAAAAAGGATGCACTGCCTCTCGAATTAGCTACAAATTCAATAGTTTACTAGGTATAAGTGGTCACATCTATCTCGGTTACATAGATATCTATATGCTACGCTCGAAGTGCAATTGGATAAATGCATATACAATACACAATACGTCCCTTCTAGCGACACTAAAGTAATTTCATTAATTTCCTTCCATCCTGGGGCGCCCTTTTCATCTTTGGCCAAGTCATGTGGCAATTAGTGAGACAGCCATACAAACATAAAAAAAAAACTATAAAACTGGACGTAAAGTTTACTACGTGTGCTATGGGAGTTTTGGTTTTTTTTTGTTAGGGTGGTATCAGTGTATCTTAGCCCGCTTTAAAAGCAACGAGTCATTCTTTTCGCATACAACAAAAGTGAGTTGCCCTCAAAGGATAAGGATGCATTTTAACTGGCGAATTCTTTTGCCCCCCGAAACTCAATTTTTTCCCTGACTCAGACACACGACAAGTGCTAAAATTTGTGCTCCGCATGTTTTTGCAATATCTTTTTTATTTTATTATGGTCGTCGTAAAATTTATTGTTGCTCTTTGAGCGTGTCTGCGTTTTTATGCTAGGATTTTTCTTGCTTAACGGATAATTAGTAAACTTTTTCCCTTTTCCATGGCTATTGTTGATGATGCACTATTAAACTACATTTCGGTGGTTAAGTGTCAAGTTAACTTCTATGTTCAGATGGTGGTCAAAGTTTTGAATTCTTTCTTAAGGGTTCAAAAATTTGTTCTGTAAGTAATATATGTATGTAAAAATTAAACTTCTTTAAAGGGCTAAAAGACATGAATATAGCTGTAAGATAAAAAAAAAGTAAAAAATAAAAACATAAATAAATTCCAGACTTTACTTTAACTGAAGCATTCTTCATCGTAAAATCTCCTCAGAGTTAATTTTCCATGTCAATAGACCCATTTGGTTATAAGTAATTCGTCTGGCTGTGCAGTAAGTGCCTGCTATAGCCGCAGGATCTTAAAAGGACTTGGTCTCCACGTGGTTGCCAGGCAATTGATGAGCTCTCATCATGGCCTGCCAATTTGTCAAACGATAATTTCTGGTCCAACGAACTTTGTCATTTATCAGTTGTTTAATTTTTAAAAGCATTTCCAGGGGATAAAGTCCCACCTCTACCCACTCATTCAATCGAGTTATTTGTTTGCTCTTAGGCCTCTTGATGTGCCTAAAAAAGCAGGGAAAACAACAAAATGCCTGGAAAACCGATGACGGAGGTTGTCTAAGCTGATTAACATTGAGTTCCTGACACATTGGCAAAAAGGCGGATGTGTGTTGGTTTTCCTTTTTGTGTTTTTTTCTGGGATGTGAGCAGCCGGAATAGATATTTTTGTGGGCCCATCCGGACGACATGAGCTTTAATTTATGCTCACAGCTTACAGTTTAACACAAAAAAGAAAGAAGGAGCTTTAAATGTGGTCCATTTTGCTCTAATTTAATGCCAACTCTTTCTGGCCTTTATCTTCGTTTCGGAATCGCTTTGCTACCACGGAATAGCTGGGCGATTTCTTTTATTGTATCTTAACGCTTTGTTCGTGTGCACTGCACCCAGTTTCCTTTACTGTTTTTATTATTACAGCCTCGAGCTATGGTCTTGAACCCTATCCTCCCCTTTTCCCACCCAAAAAAAAACCCGCAAAATCATACAAAAAAGGCCAGCAAAAAAGGGGATATAAGAAAAGTCACTCACTAGCTGGTTGTGTCTCTGTCCCTGCCCATTCGTTGGTTAAATGCTCCCGCGCTGTCAATATTCGAAATTGGAATGTGTGTCAGAACACACAGAAAGTAAAATATCCAATAAATTTAAATCATAAAGAAGACATGATGATTTAGTTTTAAATGCGTGACTACCAAAATTTTCAAATGACCTTAACTAAATTAAACTAAATTATGTATCATAAATAAAAATTACATTTATATGTTTTATCGGGGTATAACTTAAAAGTTTTAAATGTTGAAAATGTTTTTTCTCAATTTATTTGTTACATGTTTAAGTATCTGCAAATCCTGTTATTGTTTTTACTTTTAAATTTAACTAAAATTGATTACTGCTTTTGCCTGCAATATTACTATATAAAATATATATATTATTTGTGGATTATTTTTTGTCAATGAAGTTTTTATCTTGTGTCGTTTCGTTTTTTTTTTAATTTATTCAAGTTGATCTTAAATCAAATAAATAAAGATCAAATGTTGCAGATGTCTGTTGAATGACATTCATTAAAGACTTATTAAAATTATAGTTTCTACTAGATTTTTTTCCTCTCTGTACTTATGCACAATGTTTCCAGAATTCAGTTTGAGGGCAACAATATCGACACAGCGCACTTGCAAAAGTATCGCTTATATTTCGTTCGCTGCCTTTATCTTGTGGTGTGAGGTTTCGGTTGGCTCTTTTTTATTATTCCTCCTCGGTTTGACAAACAAAAGGTTGCTTGCATGGTGGAATTCGAGTGGATTGCATTTTAAATTGAAATGCCCGGGTGCGGCATAAAAACTTCAATTTATGAAACTCTCAAAAAGTCTTCTATTTTCCTTTGTCTGAGCGGCAGTCAAAAAATAGTGTACAAATTCTTAAATGTGTTATTTCAACGGACATACCGCTTTCCTTTTGTGTTGCTTATTTTCTCTTAACGTTCTCTCCTATAGAAAATGGCAAAATACGAATACGCCTAATTGGCTGGACAAATGTCAAGGGCCAAGTGGAACCCACTGTGCACAGTGTGGCCAAACAATAGAGCCACATTTCCTGACACTTGAGAAACTGCAACTGTGGCAAAACCAACAGAGCTAGCGGAACGTTTAAATAGCACAAAAATTCCTTCTTCTGCCTTCCTTTCCGATTTGTGTACGTGTCTGGGGGATTTGGTTGTGGGTATGGGTATGGGGTGGAAAAATAGGAGGCACTTGGTTGGTTGCAACCATTCTGGGTTATTTTTGTTGGCCAACTAAATCGTCAACGTCAACATTGTCGCGCAGACCGTGTTGACATTTAGCCTTGCACTGCAGCCCCACTGCAAAGAAAAACAAATACAGGAAAAAAGTAGAAGAAAGGAAGCCCCATCCTTCGTTTCCGGCGAAAATCCCTTAGGCGTTGATATAATACTCTCTCTTCTTCTGGCACTTCTCATACGCAATGTAGCACAGGGCGATGGTGATGAGCACCAGTATGGTAATCCCCATTATAATGCTGACCAGTATAATCTCATCGTTGATGCTCTTGTAAGAGTGACCTGCAAAAAAAAAGAAACAAGATTTAGAGAGGCCTCGTTGACAAATTACAGGCAATTATTCTTGTCAGGTGGGGGAAATGGGTGGGTGCAAAAAAAGGTGACCCCGCTGGTTATGGGTTTCCTGCTGATGCTTGCTCCCGTTGTTTGCCAATACACAATTCGGTTTTTAAGGATCCCAGTCCATGCATATTCAAACAATATGAGAAAACAAAAAAAAATTTAGCCGGACCATGACAAATGCAGTGTTGTAAAGAATAAACGATGGCCATATCCCAAAGGCAATCTGGATGACAACCCACGCACAGACAAAAGAAAAAAGAGTCATAAAAATTCGCAATAAACAAAAATAATATGAAAATTGGATTTGCAATTCACATTTTTCCAACAGCAGATGTTTCAATATTTTACGATCTCCCGACATATGGATTGGATTATAAACGCAATTATCGGACAAGAACATGCAAATCGCTTGTTTGGGATTACGTTTTAAGCTGGATTAATGTTCGAATTTAAATAAATAAATTGGCTTAACAAGGTGGCATCCGTAAGATATAATATAATAAAAAATATTTTAACTTTCAAAGGAAAAGCGATACAAAATCTTTTGAAATGCTTTGGGTTAATGAAAAATCTATTATTCTACAAAAAAACTTCTGTGCAATACAATTTTCCATTAATCCATTTAAATCCGATTTCCTGTATAATTCAGTTTAAATTTTGCTTTGTGGTTAGATAATTTGCAATGACTTTAATTATATGCGAATGGGTCATTTGCAAATTTAAAGCAATCATTTTAAATGCGGTTGGTAGACATACGAATTTCCAAATTTAAAGCATTCATTTAAAATGCGGTTGGTGGAATTTCAATTTGGCGTAACCAAATCCATTTCCATTCTCCCGGCTTTTGGCAAATAGGCTCTCATTGTTCGGGTCCATTTGGGCCAGATGTTTGCTTTATGGGTAATTTAACACATAATCGATGCTGAGCATTTACTCGCTTTTAGCGCTCGACACACATCAAACAAATTAAAATCCTTGTTTACAGGCAGGCAAAGCCAAAGCGACGCCAGCTCAGATTTGTTAATTAGAGGGTTCGTATTACGAAGACTCAAAGCCCAATGGACCATGTCCCAAAGCAATGGTTAACCATAAATCTCTCTTTCAGTATAATGTATATAATATATGTAGTACATATAGTATATGCATGACCTGACATTCAAGTTTTGTGATGTTAATGTGCTTGATTGTCGGCATCGAGGCGTTGAGTGTTCTTCATGGTTCACAGTTCATGGTCATTCGGCCCAGATAAATAGGCAATCATTTCGATTGCTTTCCTTTTGGCCCAAAGTTTCACCTGCTGTGCAGGCCATAAAATTCAAATGGATGCAGAAAACGGTGAGCAAAACTCGGGAGGATGAAATACGATTTATGGCAGATTTGTATTCCCAAAACATATGAATATTAGATACTTAAATTCAAAAATAAAAGAAAGAAAGGTGAAACTGTTGCAAGGAGTTGTGGTAGTAAATACATGGCTACATTTTTTTTTTTCTTTTTTGAGTTTATGGTATGCATATTCTCTTTTTTCATGACAAGGTGTGCCAATTTCAGGTTACTAAATTGTACATTTAGCCACACGTGTTTATTAATTAGTTCGCCTGGCTTGCAGCATTAAAGTGCTGCAGACATATGGGGCTTATTTTCCGCATGATTCGAGAGCGCCTTGAAACTCCTCTTTTGGAAGAGGAGGAGTTTACTTTTCATTAAATTTGTTTGTTTGTTGGATAAATAAAAATATTTTTAATTTAACAACATAACATTAGTTAGCTGCTAAAACAAAAGCGATATAAATAGCATATAACAATAAATGGTCACCATTTTCAACAATTAGTGCAAACGAAATGGATCCCGCCACATTAAAATGCCACTTCAGAGTCATGGGCAATGGCATTTCCCGAGAGCTCCAGTGTTATAATATACCAATTAAGAAGATCTTCCAACCGACAATGGTATCATTAGCCACTTTTGGCCATTTGCAAAAAGTTTTCAATGACATTCAAGTGCGGTCAAAGTTCTGTGGCTTCTGCTATGTACACATTTCTTGGGAATTGTTCGGGCATTTATAAGTTTAATTTCAAGACCACGAATTTGCGGTTACTTAAAACATCAAAAGCGCAACAAAAACTTTTGGCATATCAAAAAAAAAAAAAAAAAAATAAGAATTATTCACAGAGATGCCTATCCAGGTTCGGTCTGACAAAGTTCAGGATGTCAAAATGTAAGTTATGATAGCGTGAAATATGCAAAACGAATGCAAGAGACGAGCGCCTCAGCCACAAATTGAAATATTCGTAGGTAATGGAATCGCTTGATGGAGCCCATGGGCAAAAACTGGGCTAAACTGAGCGTAAATTATTAAGGTTCACGAGTGGATGAGCCTAACCGTTTTTGGGTATCCAACCAAGGACACATGTCCTGCCAGTTGATATGTATTAAATTTCATTTATTGTTTTCTTCCCTACCAACAGCACATACATACGAATATAGTCAATAAAGTCATTTGACAGATTATGTGAATAGACAGAATACAAAAAAAGCGAAATTTATATAAATATATATATATATAGAAGTGGAGAAAGTTAGGGTCTCACATTCATTTGGCGTTATGTAATATCTTCTATCAAATGTGTGAGAGTGCGTGTTTGTGCGTCCTGTTTGTCCTGTCTCTGACATCTTTCGAAATGGTTTGTGGCCACAAGGATTTGCCCAACATTAAGGAATTTCATTTGGGCCAGATTGAAGTAGAACTTGCCGAACACTCAAACAAATAAAAAGAAGTAAATATTTAATGACACACTGAGCAGAAGTATCAGAAACATAATGGCAAGCTGAAGGGCAAAATGTTATTTTAGTTAATGCGTTCATATGAAAAATAATTAGCAAGAATTTTAGCCAAAAAGGAAGATCAATTTATTGTATATTTTTTTTTGCCTTTTTACTTACTGCTATTACTACTGACTAATGGTGAGTCAAAAAATTAACAATCGAATATCAATAGAAAGTCGGAAAATATGTTTACAGAGATATATGGCTGACTTTTAAGGCAGAAATATCTTCTTAATTTGAAATACCTTGGTCAGCTTGACTACTGAGCCTTAAGATATAATCTTTTGATATAGGCTTAGACATTGGAATTAGGCTTCTTATTCCTTTATTTTAAAAGTGTAGGTTTTATAATTGTGAATTGGGCTTCTTCTGATTAAAAAACTGTCTGGGAACAAGAGGAAATTATAAATAAGATGACATCAAAGTGTGTTCAGATTCAAATTTGCCTTTCTTATATAGCATGGATTGGCGAAAATCATTGACTAAACAGGTGATACTACTCTCCTTAGTTCAAGTAAATAACTCAGTATACTCAGTTCTTTAAATCCAAATTATTTTTATAGTTAGAAATACTTTTACATCCAAGAATAAATACATTGTGGGTCTGACAAACAAGAAATATGGCTGAGCCACCTGAGCCACGGTTTGTATCATTGATATGGAAAGTAGCCCACGTTGCATAATATATTTTTCATAATTCCTTTAGGAAGTTCTACGCTGGACGCTGTTGTAAGTTCCACTGGCGAGGTAAGGCCACTGTAATTTTACCTTTGCTTACATTACCAATACTTGTTCTTGGCTTTAAGCATGATATGAAGGTATGTATATGCTATTCTCTAAATATTAAGAAATTTGAATCAAACTAATGTTCTTATTAGGAATACAAGTGCTTGTATCTCATTGCTACCATGGCCTTATTGTGGATATCCGAAGCTCTTCCAATTTACGTTACTGCACTGATGCCTATGGTGTTTCTACCAATGCTTGGACTTGTGGTCAGTAGAAATATATTTATCAAATAGTTTAAACATCTGAGTAAAAAGATTTCGTTTTAGCCTCCGGAAGTAGTTTGCCAGTTGTATTTTACCGATACCATTGTAATGTTCCTTGGAGGTCTTATTGTTGCCTTGGGAATAGAATACTGCAATCTCCACACGAGAATTGCCTTAAGAACTATTCTTTTAGTCGGTGGTAGTCCCAGACGGTAAGCATTACGTTATTTCTGTAAGACCACTTCTTAGATGTAAATGCAGATCATTTATTGTAGTTCGTATCATATAGTTAACTAGTATTCTAGTCACTACTTCTACTTCTACTTGCAGCCTTTTTGTTGGATTGATAGGTGTGAGCGTTTTCATGGGCTTGTGGATATCGAACTCGGCAGGGACAGCTATGATGTGTCCTATAGTCAAGGCGCTGATCTCTGAAATGGAAGCTGTAAGTAATTTGGAATTCAAGAACCATTCAACTACCACTCCACTTCTATATTCGTGCAGAACAATATGTTTCCAGTTTACATGACCCAAGAGGAAGAGCCAGTGGACGAGGGCGAGTAAGTAAACGTAATATAATATAAACAATTAATACAGATATTTTTCTACAAAAAACCCTACAGACCACCGCATCCATCAAAGATAACAATGGCCTTCTATATTGGCGTGGCATACTCCTCAACAATTGGTGGTCTAGGAACTCTGATTGGCACGAGCACAAACCTAGTCCTTAAGGGAATTTATGAGCAGTAAGATAATAGGTTTTACTGCAGAAAAACAAGATCTAAATTGAGTATTTTTTATTTTGTTGCAGGCGATTTCCCACTAGCACAGAGGAGATTTCATTTGCCAATTTCATGTTCTACTCGATCCCTCTTATGGTGGTGCTTAATATAACTCTGGTTATTATTGCTATTTTGACAACTCACATGGGCTTGTTTCGGCCAAATAGTAAAATCGGACAGATTATATCAAAGGCCAACGAGAACAAAAAAGCGTTAGAGGGTGCTTTGAGACAACGTTATGCTGAATTGGGCCCAATGAGCTGTCACGAGATCCAAATATGCATTCTGTTTTTTATTATGATCGTCCTTCTACTTACTCGGAAGCCAGGCTTCTTTCCGGGTTGGGCCGAATTTCTTAATGCTAAGTGAGTAGCCTTTTAAAAAAATCTTCATATGCTCTGCTTTAATCAACTTATTTTGAATTAAAAACAATTCGATAAGTATAGCAGTCTTATCAAAAATTGGGGCTTTCTTAATCAACCAACTTTCTAGCTTTAAGAGAAAGTAGAGTAGTCAGGAGTTAAGGGTACAAAACACAACCATATGAAAATATAATAATCATATAATATAATATTATAATATTACCTTTTATTTCATATCTCCGTTTTAGGCCTATAGGAAGTGCGTCTGCATTAGTTTTTATTATTATTTTATTATTCGCATTACCCACCCAGTATACATTTTTCAAGTACTGCTGCGGTCAAGGTGAGTCTATCAATCTATCAAAACTAAATCTAATTTAATACAACACCTCTATCTACAGCTCCTTTTCCAGCCCAGGCATTAGATGCTTTATTATCTTGGAAATTTGTTCATGACAATATCCCTTGGGGTCTGACATTTCTGCTTGGTAGGTCTATCTCCCTCCACAAAGATTTTTTGATGGCATATCGTTTATATTTTAGGTGGAGGCTTCGCCTTGGCCGAGGCCAGTAAACGATGTGGTGTCAATGTGATGATCGCCAGAGCCATGCAAGTCCTTGTTGGAATGCCACCCATTGCTGTGCAAATGATTACACTTGCCCTGTGCCAATTTTTCTCGATGTTCAACTCCAACACTGTCGTGGCCAACATTCTGATACCAATTTTATGTGAAATGGTAAGATTTACGTTTATTTGTCTTTAAGGTAGAAAAAAATAATCCGTTTCTTTGTGAAGGCTCTTGTTTTGGAAATACATCCTTTGATCTTGACCTTGCCATCGTGTTTGATAATCAGTATGTGCTACTTTTTGCCCGTTAGCACGCCCCCAAATGCAATTGTTACCAGTTATGCCCACATCAAGACCAAGCACCTTGTAAATTAAGCCTTACTAATTTTTTAAGATTCCAACATTAAAGATGTAATTTTCCAGGCCTGTTGCGGAATACTGCCCACCATTATAGGATATTTAGTGTGTCTTATGAACACGAATACATGGGGAACGATAATTTATAGTCAAACCAATACTTTTCCAGATTGGGCCAAAGAAGTTAAGGAAAAAGGCACCTGATGACATATCGATCCAGAACGTTTACAAGCTTTTTTCACTTATCAGTTATTTTGTAAGTTCATTTCAAATTATTTATGAATATCAAATAATAATGTTTTTATTTAAAGATTTTTGTATGTTAACTTGCCAGCAGCAGTGACGCGCACTGCAAGGACGCGTAAGACGAGTAAGTAAAAATATGCTCCAGTTAGTTTTCGGTGATGCCGAGACGATAAAGTTTGCTGTATACAATTTGGACTAAAATGCCATTTAACTGTTACTACATACATTTTTTGTATTTACGGAACAAAAAAATTAAATTTTCTTATCTTTGTATTTAGGTAAAAAATTGGACTGGATGACCGAATTTTGAATAGCTTTGATTTTAAATATGTTAGTGAGCCATGAAAAAAGTTATATTCCGCTTTATATCCCAAATACAAACAATCAATTCTATTCAATCGTATTAGAAACTAAACAATATGGCTGAGTAAGTTTGAAAAATATAAATTCTTAAAAACCAATTGACTTTAGATCTTATCTTGCAGTCCTGGAGAAAAAATAGGAGGTGGCCAGTCAGTAAAAAGATGTTGCAAATTTCATTGGAGGGGAAAGATATCTATCATTATTCCTATAATAACGTTGCCAATATGGCTTTATGCGCTTAAGGTGGAAAATCGTGTAAGTTTAAAGTTACCTCATATTACAAAGGAAAATGCTTATTAATCACCTTTAGGCATGGTTATGCATGTATTTGGTGGTCAACATGGCACTCTTTTGGGTGACGGAGGCAATTCCTCTTTACCTAACCTCTTTGTTACCCGTTGTTTTCTTCCCATTGTTCGGAATTTTGGTAAGTAAGTGATTGATTAAACAATATCTGCAAATGTCTACGTTTTAAGATAATGTGGAATAATTAGAAGTCATTAACATATTTTTTCTATTTAAATTACTTCCTCCCTCGTTATGAAGCCATCGGACAAGGTGTGCAGTTATTACTTCAGTGACACAGTGGTTATGTTTCTTGGTGGCTTGCTGATTGCCTTGGCAATCGAATACAGCAATCTCCATCAGCGGATTGCCCTTACTGCAATCCTTTTAGTCGGCTGCAGTCCTAGGCGGTAAGTGTCTATTCCAAAAATCAACTCTTAAGACTTAAATCTTACTTCCTGCCCAACAGATTGCACTTCGGATTGGTAATGGTAACTTGCTTTATATCACTTTGGATCTCGAATTCAGCGACAACCGCGATGATGTGCCCGATAGTCAAAGCCATACTTAACGAAATGGAAACGGTAGGAAAAGTTATATAATACAATATTTAACATCTCGTTTTATAGTTTCTTACAAATTTATTCTTAATATGATTCGTTATACATTTATAGGAAAAAATATTTGCTATATATAAGACACAGGAAGAAGAACCGGTAGAGGAGGGCGAGTAAGTCTAACATTTTAAAACAGTTTTGCAAATTATTTAAAAAACGGTCATCTCATTTTAGTCCTCCTCATCCATCCACCATATCGATGGCCTTCTATTTTGGGATTGCTTATGCCTCGTCCATAGGCGGCTGTGGGACCTTGATCGGAACTGGTACAAACCTTACTTTCAAGGGTCTATACGATACGTAAGGCCATGTGATAAGATTATATATATATATATATATATATATATATATATTGCTTCATTAAAATATCCCTTAGGCGCTTTCCCAACTCGGTGGAAAAGGTTGACTTTCCCGTTTTCATGGCATATGCAGCTCCGTTTGTAGTTTTCGTCCTCATCTTTCTCATTTTCTTCTCGCTGCAAATTACCCACATGGGTCTCTTCCGGCCCAATAGTAAAGTTGGTCAAGAGGTGAAGAAGGGCGGCGAGGGTAAGGAAGTTGTCAAGGGCGTGATTAGGCAGCGACTTAACGATCTGGGACCAATGTCCTGTCATGAGATTCAAGTGGGCTTGGTCTTTTTTTTGATGGTTTTCTTACTGCTAACCCGAAAACCGGGTTTCTGTCCAGGCTGGGCAAATTTTCTCAACGCGGCGTGAGTGATCATAAAAGATTGTCAAGATTGTAGGATTGTCAATCGAATCATGTACACTTTTTTTTTTCTAGAGCCATTGGCAGCGCCCCTCCAGTATTTTTCTGCGTCATATTGCTTTTCGCTCTGCCCACACAGTATGCCTTCTTTAAGTTCTGCTGCGGAAAGGCTCCATTTCCTGGACAAACTTTGGATGCCTGTCTCTCGTGGCTTTACTGTCACAAGTATACGCCATTTGGTCTCTGCTTTCTATTAGGTATGTAAAATATTTCTATTAAATCAAGGAACTCTACAAAGATATATTTAACGACCAATATATTATTCCCTTAACAGGTGGTGGATTTGCTTTAGCTGAGGGAAGCCGGGTCAGCGGAATGGCCAAAATGCTAGGCGAGTCCCTGTCATTTGCCGCAAAAATGCCCTCTGCCTTGGTTATATCTATGTGCATTTTAATATCACTATTTTGTACAGCCTTCGCTTCTAACGTGGCCATCTGCAATATTCTGATTCCAATATTTTCGGAAATGGTAAGTAAAGTTGAATTTCAAACCAAACCTCTTATATTAATCTTTTTATTTTGCCATTTAGGCCATAGCCATTAAAGTGCATCCTCTCAAATTAACTTTCCCTTCTGCTTTGGCCTGTAGCTTGGCCTTTCATCTGCCCGTGAGTACGCCACCTAATGCCATTATATCCGGCTTTACGGGCTTGAAAACCAAGTACATGGCCGCCGCCGGCATTTTGCCAACATTTTGGGCATTCTTATGTCTGCTTTTCACCGGAACTGTGTGGACAAAGGTTATCTACCCAGGCACCTCTAAGTTCCCCAAATGGGCAGAGTAGAGTTATGAAAGAAGAAAAATTATCTTCCAATTAGGGTTTGATAACATTCCCATTTAAACTGAAAGACCATTATGAAATACTTCTTCAAACAGGTACAAAATTTATAGACGTATCTACAAAATCCATAAACGTGTATTAAAAATTTCTGGTATTATCAGTTATATTAGTGTCAAAAAAAAAAACACTAAATTAGTAGACAAGTTTAGGTTTATATCTTGACAATTTTATTAAGGACAATGCCAAGTTTACGTAAATGTAAGTGAAACATGTCTTTAATTTTCCGAACTTTATTTTAATAATGCTCTTTAGTTCCAGGTGACAGCAAATTTGTTTCGTCTTCACACCAATCCTATTAAAATTTTCTTTTGATGACCAATAAATACATAACGCACAATTTGCGGCAATAAAAAGTACAGTAAACTTGTTTTAAAAGTACAAAAGCCTTCTCTATGGCTGCGTGGTAAACTTGGGTTGGGCGGAAATCTAGCCTACGGGTGGGTGTTCAAACTCACTTAGCAGACATTTTGGGTACGATTCCAACATTAAGATTCCAACATTAAAGATGTAATTTTCCAGGCCTGTTGCGGAATACTGCCCACCATTATAGGATATTTAGTGTGTCTTATGAACACGAATACATGGGGAACGATAATTTATAGTCAAACCAATACTTCTCCAGATTGGGCCAAAGAAGTTAAGGAAAAAGAAACCTGATGACATATCGATCCAGAACGTTTACAAGCTTTTTACACTTATCAGTTATTTTGTAAGTTCATTTCAAATTATTTATGAATATCAAATAATAATGTTTTTATTTAAAGATTTTTGTATGTTAACTTGCCAGCAGCAGTGACGCGCACTGCAAGGACGCGTAAGACGAGTAAGTAAAAATATGCTCCAGTTAGTTTTCGGTGATGCCGAGACGATAAAGTTTGCTGTACACAATTTGGACTAAAATGCCATTTAACTGTTACTACATGCATTTTTTGTATTTACGGAACAAAAAATTAAATTTTCGTATATTTGTATTTAAGTAAAAAATTGGACTGGATGACAGAATTTTGAATAGCTTTGATTTTAAATATGTTAGTGAGCCATGAAAAAAAAGTTATAATCCGCTTTATATCCCAAATACAAACAATCAATTCTATTCAATCGTATTAGAAACTAAACAATATGGCTGAGTAAGTTTGAAAAATATAAATTCTTAAAAACCAATTGACTTTAGATCTTATCTTGCAGTCCTGGAGAAAAAATAGGAGGTGGCCAGTCAGTAAAAAGCTGTTGCAAATTTCATTGGAAAGGAAAGATATCTATCATGATTCCCATAATAACGTCGCCAATATGGTTATATGCGCTTATGGTGGAAAATCGTGTAAGTTTAAAGTTACCTCATATTACAAAGGAAAATTCTTATTATTCACCTTTAGGCATGGTTATGCATGTATTTGGTGGTCAACATGGCACTCTTTTGGGTGACGGAGGCAATTCCTCTTTACCTAACCTCTTTGTTACCAGTTGTTTTCTTCCCATTGTTCGGAATTTTGGTAGGTGATTGATTTAAACATTATCTGCAAATGACTAAGTTGTAAGATAATGTGGAATAATTAGATGTCATTAACATATTTTTTCTATTTAAATGACTTCCTCCCACGTTATGAAGCCATCGGACAAGGTGTGCAGTTATTACTTCAGTGACACAGTGGTTATGTTTCTTGCTGGCTTGTTGATTGCCTTGGCAATCGAATACAGCAATCTCCATCAGCGGGTTGCCCTTACTGCAATCCTTTTAGTCGGCTGCAGTCCTAGGCGGTAAGTGTCTATTCCAAAAATCAACTCTTAAGACTTAAATCTTACTTCCTGCCCAACAGATTGCACTTCGGTTTGGTAATGGTAACTGGCTTTATATCACTTTGGATCTCGAATTCAGCGACTAGCGCGATGATGTGTCCGATAGTCAAAGCCATACTTAACGAAATGGAAACGGTAGGAAAAGTTATATAATACAATATTTAACATCTCATTTTATACTTTCTTACAAATTTAATCTGCATCTAATTCTTTATACATTTTTAGGAAAAAATATTTTCTATATATAAGACACAGGAAGAAGAACCGGTAGAGGAGGGCGAGTAAGTCTAACATTTTAACACAGTTTTGCAAATTATTTAAAAAACGGTCATCTCATTTTAGTCCTCCTCATCCATCCACCATATCGATGGCCTTCTATTTTGGGATTGCTTATGCCGCGTCCATAGGCGGCTGTGGGACCTTGATCGGAACTGGTACAAACCTTACTTTCAAGGGTCTATACGATACGTAAGGCCATGTGATAAGATTATATATATATATATATATATATATATATATATATATATATATTGCTTCATTAAAATATCCCTTAGGCGCTTTCCCAACTCGGTGGAAAAGGTCGACTTTCCCATTTTCATGGCATATGCAATGCCGTTTGCAGTTTTCGTGCTCATCTTTCTCATGTACTTCTCGCTGCAAATTACCCACATGGGTCTCTTCCGGCCCAATAGTAAAGTTGGTCAAGAGGTGAAGAAGGGCACCGAGGGTAAGGAAGTTGTCAAGGGCTTGATTAGGCAGCGACTTAACGATCTGGGACCAATGTCCTGTCATGAGATTCAAGTGGGCTTGGTCTTTTTTTTGATGGTTTTCTTACTGCTAACCCGAAAACCGGGTTTTTGTCCAGGCTGGGCAAATTTTCTCAACGCGGCGTGAGTGATCATAAAAGATTGTCAAGATTGTAGGATTGTCAATCGAATCATGTACACTTTTTTTTTTCTAGAGCCATTGGCAGCGCCCCTCCAGTATTTTTCTGCGTCATATTGCTTTTCGCTCTGCCCACACAGTATACCTTCTTTAAGTTCTGCTGCGGAAAGGCTCCATTTCCTGGACAAACTTTGGATGCCTGTCTCTCTTGGCTTTACTGTCACAAGTATACGCCATTTGGTCTCTGCTTTCTATTAGGTATGTAAAATATTTCTATTAAATCAAGGAACTCTACAAAGAAAGATTAATGAAATCTAAGAATTTGAAAATTGAAATATTTAACGACCAATATTTTATTTCCTTAACAGGTGGTGGATTTGCATTAGCTGAGGGAAGCCAGGTCAGCGGAATGGCCAAAATGCTGGGCGAGTCCCTGTCATTTGCCGAAAAAATGCCCTTTGCCTTGGTTATATCTATGTGCCTTTTAATATCACTTTTTTGTACATCCTTCGCTTCTAACGTGGCCATCTGCAATATTCTGATTCCAATATTTTCGGAAATGGTAAGTAAAGTTGAATTTCAAACCAAACCTCTTATATTAATCTTTTTATTTTGCCATTTAGGCCATAGCCATTAAAGTGCATCCTCTCAAATTAACTTTCCCTTCTGCTTTGGCCTGTAGCTTGGCCTTTCATCTGCCCGTGAGTACGCCACCTAATGCCATTATATCCGGCTTTACGGGCTTGAAAACCAAGTACATGGCCGCCGCCGGCATTTTGCCAACATTTTGGGCATTCTTATGTCTGCTTTTCACCGGAACTGTGTGGACAACGGTTATCTACCCAGACACCTCTAAGTTCCCCAAATGGGCAGAGTAGAGTTATGAAAGAAGAAAAATTATCTTCCAATTAGGGTTTGATAACATTCCCATTTAAACTGAAAGACCATTATGAAATACTTCTTCAAACAGGTACAAAATTTATAGACGTATCTACAAAATCCATAAACGTGTATTAAAAATTTCTGGTATTATCAGTTATATTAGTGTCAAAAACAAAAACACTAAATTAGTAGACAAGTTCAGGTTTATATCTTGACAATTTTATTAAGGACAATGCCAAGTTTACGTAAATGTAAGTGAAACATGTCTTTAATTTTCCGAACTTTACTTTAATAATGCTCTTTAGTTCCAGGTGACAGCAAATTTGTTTCGTCTTCACACCAATCCTATTAAAATTTTCTTTTGATGACCAATAAATACATAACGCACAATTTGCGGCAATAAAAAGTACAGTAAACTTGTTTTAAAAGTACAAAAGCCTTCTCAATGGCTGCGTGGTAAACTTGGGTTGGGCGGAAATCTAGCCTACGGGTGGGTGTTCAAACTCACTTAGCAGACATTTCGGGTATGAAAAAAAACAAAAACTTTATGCAAACACAGCAAGAAGTCCTTCGGCTGGTCCTTCACCTGAACTCATTCACATTCGCAGAGGAAAAGCGAGATAAAATCAAGCCAAACATCATTACGGGGAGCAACTGAATTATATTGCCTTCCTGTGCGTGAATGATATGTTGAGCACCCGAGCTACCATTTATAGCGCACAAATCCCCAGTCGACACACGCATAAACAAATAATGTACAAGCACAGGAAAATTCCGATGCTCATTTACTCATGTGTATAAGAAACGCAACGAAATAAATGTAATAAAAGCTCTGACATGCGGAATATACATACGTAATCAAGACACGAATAAAAACACGCTTTTCAACACTGATTACGGCGAGGCATGCGGCAGGCAGGCATGGGGCAGGACTTCATCATCAGCAGGACGTCAGGACGACGCCATCGGTTGGGGGGCCAACATAAGCCCGCCAAATGGGCGACAGTGCGGACAACGAACCACCCATCCGCCACCCCAAAATGTTTACCCTGGAGGCAATGTACAGTGGTTAGGGGCTTGAAATAACAATGAGGCTTGTCATTTATTCATAAAGCAATAATAATGGACAGATTTCAATAAACATAATTTTGTATTATTTGGATATTTACTTGAGTTCTTTTCGAAGCTCTGTGCAGCATGCAGACAGGTGGTATGGTTGTAGTAAGTTATTTATAAGTAATAATTATTGTCTTCACTAAAAGTGTTATACTTTCTTTCGCGTATTTCAACAATTTATTTATATAAGCTGTCGTGACATCAAAGTTAACAGTTATTGATGAATGTTGTAAAATCAAATGAATTTCGACAAATATCAGAAAAATACTACAGTATATATAATCTTGACTAGGACAACTAGCCAAGACGATGTCCGTCTGTCTGTCCGTATTACGCAAAGTTTTATAAGAGGGTGGGCTTAAGCTTGTCTATCCTGAAATGTATTCCTAGAGTTTTTTTTAACCGGAATACATAAATTTTGTCAGTACTCATCGGTATACCAATTATTTTTAAGATCTAACAATTATTAGTCTACCAACAGATGCCTTCTGATGTTAAAATGTAAGGTCCCCCATTCAACTTTAGCACATCTTTAGTATATATTATCATTATTAAAATATTTCCAACAAATTGTGAAGCCATATTTAACATGTAATAAAACTTATGAGTAAACACCAGATAAGCTTTAAGGAAGTAAAAATATTCTTAAGGGTTTTAGTCTTATCAGGATTTCGGCATCTTCGTTGGCATTATCTTTTATCCACTCACCACTGTAATAATTGTTGTCCGAATAACCGTATTTGCCGGCTGTCCTGCCACCTCCGGCCATCTTTATAGATTGCTTTGTTTCCTTGGCTCGTGCTGATACTTCCTGCTGCCCTAAGCCGATGTTGTTGTTCTTGTTAGTTAGTTGTTAGGACTGGAGCTGCCACTTCGGGACCATAAAACACTCAAAGCTGAATGGTCTGCTGATCGGCTTTTGGCTGAGCTACATACAAGTCCTGTTGCGAATGCTGCTGCCTCTGATGCTTCCGGGAAAACAACTGACGGAGAAAAGCGGAAAGGAATGCAAATAAAATCTGAGTTAATCCAGACCAGAAACAAATTGTTAATGACTCTGTCAGTAGCATAATGAACTTGGGTATGAAACAGAAATCAGAACTCGCACACACAACGCACGCCTACGGCATAGGGAAACAGGATATGGAAATAAGTCATAAAGTGTTCTGGGATTTGCAAGAAGCCTAAATGAGCAGAAATCTTTGGTATGAAATAGAAGGAAGTTTATTTATCTTCAAAGTTAAGTTCAAAAGGAAAGGAAAATAGTATAAGCTGACTGACATAAGTAATATATTCTATAACTATAGATATTTCAGTATAAATCACCCTCATCATCTCCCTGCTAGATATGGGTAATTATACCCGTTACTCGTAGAGTAAAAGGGTATACTAGATTCGTTGAAAAGTATGTAACAGATAGAAGGAAGCTTTTGCGACCCTATAAAGTATATATATTCTTGATCAGGATCAATAGCGAAGTCGATTGAGCCATGTCCGTCTGTCCGTCCGTCCGTCCGTCCGTCCGTCCGTCCGTCCGTCCGTCCGTCCGTCCGTCCGTCCGTCCGTATGAACGCTGAGATCTCAGGAACTATAGCAGATACAAGGTTGAGATTAAGCATGAAGATTCTTGAGGTCCCGGGACAGCGCAAGTTTATTACAGCATCCTGCCACGCCCACTCTAACGCCCACAAATCGCAAAAAACTAAAATTGGTGAAATCTCAGGAACTATTGCAGTTAGAAAGTTGAAATTCAGAAAGTATAATCTTTAGATGACAGCGCATCTTATAGTAGTACTACTATCCGGCCACACCCACCCATACGCCCACAAGGCTCAAAAGACGGTTTTTGGATTTTCTAGAAAAGCTGATATCTCGGTAACTATAAGAGATAGAAAGTTCGGATCAAGCATGTATGTTTCTATGATGCTCCCAATGCGAATTGTTTTTTTCCGATCACGCCACGCCCACTCTAACGCCCACAAAACCCGAAAAACCAAAAATGCAAAAATCTCGAAAACTATAAGAGCTACACAATTTTGCTTAGAAACACGTATTTAGGAGATGCCTCTGCAACTTGCCACGAAGTTGCATCCGGCCACGCCCACTCTAACGCCCACAAACCGCGGAAAACTGTGGAGTCTATAATATTATTATGAATGCCTTCGTTTGACCTTGTGTAACTTATTTCGGTTAATATCTATCGATTTACAAAAGATTTTTAAAATCGGAACATTATTTCGCTATTTATAAAGAAATTTAGGTTATAAGGCCTCACACGGGCAGTGACGTCACTATAAGCATACTCAACATACTTCCTCTGACAATAGGTGGCGCCTTGTGAATTTCCACCAGCAAAATTAATATTTTAAAATTGTGTAAAACAGTAACGGGTATCTTATGGTCGCGGCACTCGACTATAGCGTTTCCTCTTGTTTTAATAGATACTTTTCCACAGCATTGAAAACCACAATTTAAATTTAGACCAAAACATAAAAATCCATTTCAGATATGCAAAATAAATCTGCTATCTTTTGTTCGGCTTTAATAGAATTCCGTTTTGGGAACACGCTGGCTTAAACGCTAGTCACGTTACGTATACGCAATGTCAGCATGTTTTAATTACTGCAAACACCCAAACAGGAGAGCTCGCCTCGTCTGGTCGTGTAATTATGCATATAATTAATATGCAAGTACTTATTTAATATTAACCAAATTGCTGCCACTTGGAGCGTGTCGCCAACGGCAACAGCAGCCGGCAGGAGTACCCATCGAGTTTTGCGCTCCCATGGCAACAATAAATTGTGTTCAATTTGTGTAATTAGTGTAAGAAGCTTTTGCTGCCAAAGGTGAATGTGCGAATGTGAGTGTGTGTGTGTGCATGGGTGTGGGTGTATGCGATTGTGTTTTAGTGGGCGTGGCCAATTTACACACATAAAATGTTCCGCAGCTTAGAGAAAGCAATTTGGAAATTGCATGCACGTCGGGATCACTGAGGAGGGTTTAAAGGTGGAGGCTGTGCGGTTTATGCCTGATGCATTTCTCTAGTTAGTCTGCTCCATTTACTACTACGCTCGGTGCGCTCTTGATGGGGGCCAAGTACAACAGGGCGGATTGGGTTAAATGAGCTCTGTGATTTGCCATGGCAAGTGGGCACATTGCAATTTGCTGACGATAAATTTTCCAGTTCAAATCTCGGCTTAGCTCAAATTGGTTCTCTTTTGTTCGGTATGCAAAGTGTTTCTATAACTTAATTAAAACTTAACGAAAGCTGTTAGATGTGGCCGAGCCGTGTTATCGGATACTTTAAAAGACTGATAAGCCAAAACAAATTTGTTTTGCTCTCATTTTGTGCGACGTAATAAACACGAAATAAGAAAAAGTACTTAGGCTAAAGGTGTTTTCCATCTTCTATCAAATTTAAACTTGCTAAACAACAATTACCATTTAGTTATTTGCATATTTATCGAGCAATCAAGTTTCAACAGACACTCTGATAATTAAATGAGATAAAAGGATTCTCTATTAATTTTGTTAAATGCAAATTAATTTTGTGAAACCCCATCTGATAAACTCTGGTTTCCACTACCAACTTAGCCCATAAAACATCATCAATCAAGGCAAGTTTTCTTGTCTGGCTAAATAGCTGGGAAAGTTTGAGCGAAGTCCAACTTCTGGGGCAGCTAATCTGTGTACCATATCACATCACTCACTTACGAACAATCCATTTACGGCAGAGCTATGAGATTCCTGGCAATCGAGACGAACTTTTTTCTGGCAAACTTTTCTGTTGGCCAATTTCCTGGGCCTAATGCAATTTATCGAGCTCCCACTCACAACAATATGTTCTATCTGTAAAGTTATTCAAATTAAAATGAGGCACCCTTTTGCATCTTATTTTGGGCGGCATGAAAATTCGATTATGAACAAAACTTTTCACTGGATCAGTTTTAAAAATTTCTTGCACGTACTGCGTGAAAACTCAATTACACGTTCAAAGAGCAATTCCTCTTCCTTGGCAACCGCCGGATCCTGGGTCCACCTTTTCCGAAAGGTGGCAAACAAATAATAATGGAAGTTTTTCCGCTCTGCTGTTTGTGTGTTTTGTATTTTCTAGTGCCATGATGTCCTACACTAAGAAAGAAATCTCTTTAAAGGGAAGATTACATGGGCTTTAATTCGAAATATTACATTTTGAACTCATTCTTATTGGGAAAAAAAGTATAAGCATAATAAAATTATTACAATTCAAATAAATTTTTCTTATATATTTCCAAAGTAATTTTCTTTCTTTCTGTAAACTTAATATCCCTTTATAAATATATACATTTGCAATTTGTTTTCATAGTAATGAATAATTTTTTTCAGTGAACACATCCTTTACTCTTTTTTGTTACTTTTTCTTAATGTCTCTTTTTCCTTAAGTGTAGTTGCAGCTGTTGGAACAAAAGGCCAAAGGAGGAAGACCGCAGTCTAAGTGAGAACATATGTTGGACAGCAGATACACACCAGTGCTAAGAAATAATAGGAGTAAGATTGTGGGAACGGGGAACGAAGGAGATATGCCTCTGGGAGAGCATAGGGATGAAGATAGGAGCTCGCAGGCTGTCCAGAGTGATGGTGTGCATGAGAGGTCCCAATAGGTTCCGTTTCTGACTCTGACCTCCTGCTGTAAAGCCAAGTGATGACCGAAAATAGCACTAAAATTGTCGCCTCTGTTTCTCTGCATTCAGTCAGGCTTTGTCTCTGTGTGTGTTTATGATGGTGTTTCTTTGTGTACGTTGACGGTTTGGGATGATATGAGTGTGTGTCTGTGTGGAGAACGCCACATCCTGTTTCCTGGGCATGGCGTGTGCGCACGAGTGCCATTGTCTAAATTATTTGGATGGCGTACACTTTCCGTTGAATTTGCGTTCCCAGCACCGAGGACCTGTCCATGGATCCTACTCTTCTCGCCCAGCACTTTCAGGAGAACTCCCTGATGGCTTCTGATGGGTACTCGGCGCCCCAAAAAACAATACATCAATTTGTACGTATGCACGTGGCCCGAGCGTTTGTCATGGCAAGTGATTCCTCATGATTGGCCTAATTGTCAGTCAGGTCAGAAACACCCACTTTCCCCACACTTCTGTGAATGGAAAACCTATTCGGTCTTTCCATTTTCCCTTCTCACACGAAGTACTTACTCACATATATGCACTGACTGATTCGGCGATAGGATGGACTCTTAAGGACAAGGTAAAAAATGTATTTTCTAAATATTTAAAGAGAAACATACAAGAGATAAGAAATTGTTCATAAAGATACATATTTCCGCTATCAAAATAGATTTTTTAATAGTAAGTTTAACTTAGTGAAAACTATTGAGCCAATAAAGCTTTAAAGAAAATTCTAATAAATATTTTTTAATAATATTACTTGTAAAAACCGTCAAAAATCCGTTTCTTTTTCTTTATTTATAATAAAATTTAAAAAGAATCAATTATTAAAGGCAAAAAATTCTCATGTATTTCCAAATTAAGCCACTTTTAGGATGTGTCAGCAACATTTGAAGCTTAGCATGAAGCTGGATTTAATAAAATGTGTCAACACTGCGTATGCGTGATAAAGGTTTTACTGAGGTCCACCCCAGCAGGCACATGCTATGTGAGTTTGGTTCCAGGTACAATATGTACATAGACTTAATTGATGTGCTAATGGATGCTTTATTTTAGAACGGCTTTTATTTATATTGTGTCGATGCCATTTAATTGGAAAACGGCTGCAAGCAGTTTCAAGTTAGTTTCACTATGGTCTATAGCATTGATATATGCAGAAGCAATATGAAAACCAAAATGATGCATTTCTTAATTACCATTTTCTTTAATTTAAGTAGAACGCAATCGCAACTTCCGAAACTTGAAATGAAGAAAGTTCTTCATCAATAAGAAGCAACTTTGACAAATAAACGGATATTATTCTTCAAATGGATAAATCGTATTCGCCTTAACTTCGAGTTTCTCAAACAAATGACAACGTTCTCCTTTGCACTTTTCTTATATTGGCTTTTATTGATTTTCCTTTCATTTTATTGGAATTTTCCCCTGTAGCGTCTTGCCAAACAAATCTGTTTTCCCCTTCAACTGCAAAGGTAAATACTTTTATTTACCTATCGCATTTGGCCACCTCAGTAAACAATATTTTGATCCGCAAGGGATTTGGTGAGATGGTCGAACAGGCTTACCAATAATTAGACTGGGGAAAACTTTTCGAAACGAAGATGTTTATTAATTGCACATACGTGGACCACAAATTTAAGCCAAAGCTTTAGACCAAACTTCTCAGCTACGTTAGTTTTCCATCTTCCTTTCAAATTTCAAGGTGGTTGGTCTTAGCCGGCTTTTGCTGGGGCTTTCCTTGGAAAAATTGAAATATAAGAAGTGGTTCGAGCGCATTGAGCACAGGTAAGCACTATATAAATGGAAATATTTCACAAGTCGGTTGCAGTTTATAACGAGCTTCACTTTGACTATAAACTTAAAGTGAGCAGGGATGCTAACAAAAGATTATTCTAGAAAACATTTAATAGTTAAGAGTTTTATGGTAGCATAATACGGTAGTTTCCAAAAGTTTATGTTTAATGGTCGATAGAAATGTGAAATATTCTGTTTTAAAGCAAATTTTGAAGAGGAAACTCAGCGAGAGCAAGCTATTTTTATTATCGTTTTATGCATGCTTTAAACAACGTTTATATAAGGAAAGTTAAAATTTTTAAATGGTGAAGAAAACGAATCATATTCTTGTTAAATTGTTAATTGATACAAGAAGGGACATCCTGTTGAAAGAGGCATTATTTTGGCGGTTTCATTTCAACATTAAAAGCAAGTCACGTAAATGCTTTTCAGGTACTCAGCATATTTTATTGCGCTCCATTGCGTTTCATAATCTAAATGTCAATTAAGAAACGTGTATTTAATAATTAAAAATCTGTTTACATTAAAACAAACCGTTAGGCGAAAAACTTTTTATATTTTAAAACTGTTTTATGGGTCCATCAAGATTAAGTTAGCATGAGTTCATATTTTTATGGTCATATAAAACGTGAAATATTGTTCTTTAATGCAAATTTTCAATGGTGGCATCCGGCTCGTGGAAGATATTACTTATTATCTTGATTTACAAGAGTTTTACTTTTAGTTCATGCCACATGAAATTAAATTGAATTTATATTCCTTAAGCTTTTTATATAATTTTTTTGTTAAAGAAAAGAAGGAAAAACTCTGGCTTCTATTGAACTTTATTTGCTTTGCGTGAACAATTTGACAGAAGACATACCAAAGTGAACTGGAAAATTCATTGTAATCTCTTCTTGCTTAACAGTCAAAAAAGAAACCTTTGCGTAACTGCCAAGAGCATTTTGGCAACCTCTTTTGAAATATCAAGTTCATGGCTGTTTGTCATTGAATCCCAACAATCCGAATCTTGAACAAATTGTTCAAAATATAATTTAAGCTTTGGTAATGGGAAACCAAACCGAAGAAGAAGAAAGTTTCCCCCTTAACAAATTCTAGGCCAAGAATGACAAATACTTTAAAGAGTAATGCAAGTAAATCTTGAATGACTTGAATAACAATTTTAAGAAGACCGCCAAAGGCAGTTTTCCTAAGTCCACGTTTAATAATAAGAACCCATAAAATTCAATAGCTAAATCATAATATGCAAATGATGGCCAGTGAAAACCAGCCTTAAATACTTTAAATAAGTTTAAAGCCCAGGACCCGTGGACGAATCGACAAACTTGATGGATGGTTCGTGAGTGGGCTGCGGAGCGTGAACTTGACTCTGAACTGTGAAAAATGGAGTGCTGATGGAAGTGTAAAAATGCCAGCATGCATGCAGTAAAACGGCTGGCCATAAAACAAGCCGTACAGTTGCTCATAAAAATGAGGAAAAGTGGTTCCAATACCACCAATACCTGGGCATCGGCTGACAGCCTGCCAAGATCTGCGCGGTCTATAATTGATTTATATTGACCATATGGCGGGGGGCTTACCATCAGCCTTTGTTGTCTGCCAACTGCCATTAAATGGCTAATTAAGATTTCAGTCCGCTGGCACTCGTCCAGCAGTTGGCCGCAAATCTCACGCCTTTTTAAATCCCTTATTTTTTTTGGAACCCGAATTTTCCGACCCGACTTCGGTATATATAAATTGTCTCCGAACCGGACACAAAAGCGCGCGAAATTACACAAACAAAAGTTGCGGGGACCAAAAAAACAGGGCTATCTCGCACACACGCAAACATGAAAATACGGAGTAACCGACTCCGGATTGGTCCGAGTAAATATGGCGCCAAACGAATCGAGAATGTCGCCTTTTGGAGTCTCCGTTCGGTAGTCGGTTCCCTGTGTGCCACTAGCACATCTGTCCCATCTAACGGCGGTTTTTCTACTGATGAATGAATCCACCGATGGATGGCAGGATGCGGAAAGTTCCCAGCATGCCGTGGACCAACTGCCGGAGAGCTTTTACTACGACATGAGCTTTTACCCTAACCCCATGTCCAGGCTGAGACAAAGTTCTGAGACACTCGACGAATTAGGGATACCTATTACCTATTATTAGTTAGTCACATTTACGTTTATTTATACAAATAATTTTGTGGCTCAAATTCTAAAAACCAAAGCAGAATTTAAAATTTTTAAATTTTAATAAATTTATTGTTTTAGAAACTCTTTGCAGATTGGTTTATTGACTTTTGATTTGTATTAAAATTCGATTTTTAGTAGAATAAAAACCAAAAGACAAGCACAAGCAAATACGGCATCAATTTTAAATTAATTACATCAAGCAGGAGCGGTGAGCAGGGCGGCGTGGTAGGCGATGTGTTCGCCGATGAAGGTGGAGATGTAGAAGTAACTGTGGTCATATCCCTCGCGCTGCTTGAAGATTGTCTGGATATGATCGTTGCCTACGGCGGCGGCCAAAAGGTTCTCCGGCAGCAGCTGTTTGCCAGTTAGGAAGTTATCCGGCCCCTCCTTGATCAATGAAGAGTTCCTGTGGCGTACTCTCGTACTGTGACACCAGGTGGGTAGCATCCCACAGTGCCCAATCAGCCTGATTGGACCCCAAGTAGCCAGCGAAGGCCTTTTGACCCCACGGGCACTCCGTGGGATTGGCTATCGGAGCGAAAGCCGAAACAGACTGGTACAATCCAGGATTTTTGAGGGAGCATATCAAGGCTCCATGTCCGCCCATACTGTGACCGAATATTCCACGCCTGCCGGGAACCACGGTCAGATTGGCATTGACCACATCCACCAACTCCTGGGTCACATAACTGTACATCTTGTAGTGCTTGGACCACGGCTCCTCCTTGGCATCCACATAAAACCCAGCACCGCTGCCGAAATCGTAGGCATCATCCTGTCCGGCGATTTCCACGCCTCTGGGCGAAGTGTCCGGATTGACAACGATCAGATTGTGACGGGCGGCGTGCTGCTGGAAGCCACTCTTCTGGATAAAGTTCTCGTGGCTGCAGGTCAGTCCACTCAGGAAGTAGAGTACCGGACATGGTGTGCCCTCCAGAGCTGCTGGCGGCAAGAAAACGCCAAAGGTCATCTCGCAATCTAAAGTGCCGGATCGGTGGCGATAGACGCGTTGCTCGCCTTCGAAGCATTTGGCGGTGGAGACCAATTCAAGAGTCATGTTCTGTAGTGAAAATAATATTTATAATTAATAAGTATTAAAAAACTGCAGATAAAAGCGGTAACTTTACGTGTTTCTGCAGATTCTAAATATAAACGATAATAAACAGTGAGACCGTGTACGGAGCGCCGAAAAATCCTTCACGGATAGGTCTATCTTAACTTGGAACTATCTTAAGCCTTTAGTTTTACAGCCCGCTAACAGTATGTTAGTGGGCGATTAAAAAAAAATACTAAAAAAAATACCGATAGCTACAAGTCTCTCATGACTAGCGGAGAAGAAGAAGCGATGATTTGACTTATTGGCAAAATCGCAGATGTTATTTGTTTTTATCGTGTATAAATAGAAAAGTACAACAAATAAAAAGCCGGAAAATGTCAGAAGAACCTGCCAGTACCTCAGCCTTTGGATTTAAGAAGCGAAACATCAAAAAAGGAGCCGGTATTCGTCGCAAAAAGGAAAGCAGCAGCAATGAGTCTGGTGAGTGACTACTTTTGCCGCCAAAATGGAAATTGGTAAATATTTATACACATTTTTTAGCAAAAAGCAGTGATGAGGAGTCAAAAAGCAAAGCCAGTGCTTTAGTACGAGCTGAAAACAGGAGAAAGCGCACGAATCCGAACTTTCAGAGCACCAAAACACTGAGCAAGGCCAAGCGCCAGGCGGGAGCAGCTGATGAGGATGCCTCATCATCTGCGTCCGATGATGATAAACTGGGTATCGCATACAAATCTAAACGGGAAGCACTGCCCAGTGGACCGCAGGATCAGGGAGCCACTTCCATTAACGAAATGGACACAGAATTGGATCGCGATGCCCAGGCAATTCATGCTCGCGCTCTGAAAATCAACGAAGAACTGGAGGGCAAAGCGGATGATAAGATATATCGTGGAATAAACAACTATGCTCAGTACTATAAGAAACAAGACACGGCAGCTGGAAATGCGAGCTCTGGTATGGTGCGAAGTGGTCCAATTAGAGCACCCGCTCATCTCAGAGCCACTGTAAGGTGGGACTACCAGCCGGATATTTGCAAAGATTATAAGGAAACAGGATACTGCGGCTTTGGCGACAGCTGTAAGTTTTTGCACGATCGTAGTGACTATAAAGCTGGATGGCAATTAGAAATGGATCATGAGAATCAGAGAACGGGAGATGCTGACTCCGATGGTGATGATGGCAAGTACGAGATTCATTCGGATGAGGAGTCGCTGCCTTTCAAGTGCCACATCTGTCGTCAGAGCTTTGTCAATCCCGTTGTGACCAAGTGAGTGTATAGATAGTTTTAGTAATAACTAATACCAACTAAAATCTGACAATGTAGAAATGAAAACTTATAAATGAGGGAATACTAACCCAATTTCCTTTACAGGTGCAAACATTATTTCTGTGAAAAGTGCGCTCTGGCTCAGTACAAAAAGTCACAACGTTGCATCATCTGCTCCCAGCAAACAAATGGCATTTTCAATCCTGCTAAGGAATTGATAGCTCGCCTTAAGACGAATCCCATGGAAAACTCGGATAGCGAAGAAGAGGAATTGGGTGCAAAGGAAGAAAAAGGTGGAGATGAGGAGGAGGCTCAGGAGATCTCATCCGATGATAGTGATTAAATTAATTGTAAATCAAGCGAACTAGGAGTGCGGGAAACCAAACTTCAGTAAGGAACTGCTAACTTCTAAATAAATTTTAGGAGTTTCGGTGGCTTAGAATTTAAAATTTATATATTGATTATTAAATGTGTTTTAAATTTTTGAAATGAAATTGAATTTAGTACAAACGATGGGCATTGTTTTACAAGTTCATATGCAATTCTACATGTAAGAGGTAAAGTAAAGTTTACCACAGCGCTAGATGGCGCTTTGATATTGTTGGAATATTGGTGATATTAATATAGTGGTTACGTTAATTCAAGGTAGCACAGGCAAAAATGTTCGAAAAGTGGTCAAGTTAGGATATTATTAAGGTAATTTTTTGAGGGCTTTGTAAAAGGTCAATAGGTTTGAAACATAGAACATTCTTAGCAAAGTCGCTAAAGTCTATTATTTTACAAAAGTGTTCACGGATTTAAGTTGCAGTCTGTGACTATATTTACCTCGGTCATGATGTGTCCAAAGTTAAGCACTCCTCTGACTCGCTTGGGAAGACTGGAGAACGTTGTTATGGAATATGCGAATGAACTTCTACCACTCACGCTTGGCAGACGCAGCAAATATCTTCCCATGCCAAGTAACCAAGCCGTTTAAAATCTTTTGCTTGTGTTTATCAGACTATCGTCCAGAAGTTGAAATAACATGGGGATTTTGATCGGTGTTATTTATCTTTTACTGAGAATGATCCAAGGCCAACTCTGACCTTTCCTGTGAGGACGCAATCATGGGGAAAACAATCAAACGAACACGAAATTAAACGTGGAAGGCGGACAACTAAAACTAGCGTCCCCTTGGAGCGGCGAAAGTCAAGCTCAATTTTATATCCATAATTCAATTGCCAGAACTTTCATTTCCGGTTTCGTTCGCATCAGCAAGCACAGGCACAAAGGGAAGTTAGAGAAGGGAATGTAAGAGGAAAGAGGAGAAAGCCAAACTTGTACATAAGGGAATTTCGTTTGACTTTGGCCCGCTAAAATCAAAAATCTCCTGCCAAACTTCTAGGCCGCATTGTTTCACAGCATAAAAGCCGAAATATTGGCCAATTGTAACGAATCGAAGCTAAGCCACAAATTCCAGAACCCATTTTGGCTTGTCCATCCAACCCTTCTTCTCCAGTTCTGGGCATGCAAAATATGAGCATTTAAGCCTCTAAAAACAAAGCATCTGCCCAGGCTGAGCTGAAAAGTTGGAGCTTCGATTTTCCGGACCAAGTATCGCTCTTGGATGCCGCAATGTCGAAGGGGGTTTATATAAGGGAAGCTTCGACGTCTACATATGTGTGCTTGTAGATAAGGCTTCACACTATTTTCCAGTTTTCTGAATGCAGTTTCCCTTAATAGAAAAGTGAATAGGGTCAACATTTTTTAAAGCTCTATTTCTTTAGTGATTTAAATAATTTAATATTTTAAATAGCATATTTAAAATGTATATTTTTATAGTAAAACTTTTAACTTTTAATTTTAATTATATTTTTTTAATCAATCAAAATATACATTTTGCTAGGCTTTTATTTTTGTAAAAATAAAATTAAATGCTGTTCCTTCATTTTTCCAAGGATAACAATCACAGCACATCACCGAACTTTGGCACGCGGCTTGTAAGTCACGTTCGCATTTTCTCACATTTTATACGCTACTCACTTATTGGCAGTGCAATGGTTAATTGAATCACAAAGTCGTGCATGATGAACGCAACTTAATTGAAGGGGCGGCAATGATGATTGTTTCGACCAAGAAACCTAAGTCTCCCATTAAACGGGCGCCAAAATCAGTTTTAATTATTTCCATAAATGCGAAAGTGAGCGGCATACGTGAGGCTCTGAAATTTTATAGTTTCTGTCAGTGGCTTTGATTGCCAAAGCGCAATAAGTGGGTGGCATTGGGTGGTTGGTTGCCTCTTTTTCCAAATAAGGCTGTTAATTTTTCCGCCTAATTAGGAAGTAGAAATTTGTGTGTGTGTGCGGTTGTACACACGATTGCGTTTCGACCTCCATGTAATTAAGCGTTAAATGTGTTTGACGCCTTCCGAAAGTGAATGAGTCAGATACGTTTTCTTTAGATCGATCTGTTGTTCTGGGAAATAGTGGAGATTTTCTTAAAATTGTCATTCATGATAAATATATAATTAAAAAAAAAATATTTACAACTTTGCAAATTTGGTTGAAAAATATCCAAAACAAATTCTTAATTATATTATAATTTAATAATTTGTATACCCAAATTATTTTTTCGTGTATACCCAAGGGCAGCTGTCTGCACGTTTTGCTGGGCTGCACGCTGTTTGTTTTCATTCGCCTTTATTTATTGGCTTCTAATGTCATTGACTATCATCCCACGGACCGGAGAGTTCTGGGCCGCTTGCTCTTCCCTTGGATTTGCTGCCTGGACTCGGGCTCAACTTGTCGCTTATTGTGTCAATTATCATTAATTTCTAAACGCTCTCCTGTCCACACCAAGGTTGTAGCACCTTTTTGAATGATACTGCTACGCCCCGGAGCTCAGTCCAACTTCCAGTACGTGTCCTGGCCATGTTGAAATGTCACCCCCGGCCATATAAATGGCCATTGTGCCCGTGCGTTTGTTCTATCAGCAGGACTCCCGAGGACACCGTGTCCCGACATCCTTAAAGTTTTCCAAACTTTGCCATGTGTATTTATGCTTTGACTTTTGATAATTTATTTGTCCATTGAATGTTAAGTTTCGATCGTTGAACAGAAGTTATGTTGCAGTTAAAGATTAACTTTATTTGGAAATCGAACAATTAAGAACAAGCTTTAGCTGGGTGTATATAATAATTGTGTAAATTAAACTCATACTGCTGCTGGCCATAAATAATAGAGAGCAACAATATTATGCCACCGCAAAAACCCCAGGCTCATTAATCTTTCACTTAATAGTCCCGAATAATTAAACACACAACAATTGCACGGTCCCCTGTCGACCAATTAAAAGCCAATTTAAAGAGATAACAATTTATGAAAATCCGCAATTGAAAAGAAAAACCATTTTCTAAGCGGAAACATGGCCCCGAGCGAGCGAGCCAGCAAGTGTGTCTGTGTGTTTGTATGTTAACCTCACAAGTTATGGCCCACAAATCTGTGTCTCTGATAAAAGTTCATGCCCCTGCAGACACACGACCGCAGCTTTAATTTATAACAAACATTCTGTTAGATGGCTTTGGGATGTGGTATGTTCTATGTTCCAAAGAATCTTTGACACTTGCACTGCGAACTGGCAGTTATCCAGAAAAAAGGCCAACAAAAACCGAACAGAAAAAGAAAGTTTTCTTCAAAACAAAAACCACTCGACATGTCCGGCCACAAGAATGCTTGTCGCTGGTTAGCCGCAATGCAAATAAAGATAAAATGCAAAGTGGGCAAAAACTAGCCAAATGCACCATTGCCACTGCCGCTGCTGCTGATGCTGCTGTTGCCACCACTGAGGATCCTTCATGGCCACAATAGCAGCTACAGCATGCAAACAAATCGCTGCTACTTTTACGCCATTTTCGAATTGATGTTGGTCGATTTCTTGGGTGGGAAGAGGGCCAGTGTTAGTGGTAAAATACCCCCTCTTTTAGAAATCCCCCTTCGGTTTTCTGGTTTACGACTTTACGAGAGTTGCCTCGCTGCTTTTGGCCAAGAAAACTTTTGCCTGCACTTTATGATTTTTGCACAAACTTTTGTCAGCTCGGCTTTCTGTTTGTTTGTCGCCCTTTCTTTATTGAAGGCAAGGACCAGATGCCTTATGTCTGCTGTTCCCACCATATTGATGTTTATTATACTGGTAACGCATAAAAATATTCACAAAAAATAAAATAAAAAACGAACAAAGCAAAAATAATAATAAGAAGGTAACAAAAGTTTTTGTCATTTCGCCTGACATTTTTTTCAATTGCGTGAAAAGTTGCTGCAAATGCCAGAAGCGGCAGCAAAAATCAATATATTCTTTATTGATTCGTAAATATTGAGCTTTATTGTATACAATATAAATTGAATTTTGTGTTGGCATCGAAATGGTATACATACATGGTTAATATTGTGGTGGAAATGTTTTTTTGCGGTTAGAAATTAAGAGTTTAGGCAATGTAAGAAAATATTTTTTAAACTAATATATAATCAAACAAAATATGTTCTGAGTTGGGCAAGGTGACCCTCGCTTCATTACTATTTCAGTACATTGTACTTTCAATATTGTTTTGGCTTTTAAACTTCTCTTAATAACCTGTGATTTTTCCCAAATATTTTTAAAAGAGAGCGTGCTCAACACCTATTAGTTTTCGCTTTGTAACTTTTGAAACTATTTTCACTTTTTGCATTAATGTTTATCAATTTTCTTTTATCAGCATTAAATTCTTTCAACGAAGAAGTTAAGAGGTAAACTATTGATAGTAATCAATAATTCAGAACAAGTATTAGAAAAATAAACTTAAACCCCAAAAGAATATATCGAAATTGTATGTCATTCTGTACCGTGTCCAAATTCGCAAAACAGTTAATTTTTTTTCAAATTTTAACAAGAACTTACATTCTTATTTCATTCACAAAAACCTCAGTCAGTTAAATGGATTATTTTAATGAGGGCAGCGGTCAATTAAATGACCAAGCAATTGTCCTAAAAGCCGAAACATTAAAAATCTAGGTCCGAATGTAATGTTTGCACCTTGCCCGTGAATGTCCGGCACGAATGTTGTAAGTCCGGTCATTCTCGTGTGAAATCGGGGCATTCAACGTATCCTGTGCACAGTTACAACTTCCGGCCAAACACACAAATGAGCTACAAAATACATTTTCAGCCACAACAGCAATAATACTACAAAATGCCTGCAATGAGTAGAAGGCACTAAGACAACAATAGAATGGTTGACTGGTCTCCAAGTCCCTTTTACTCTAAGCAAATGAGGCCATTTTGCTGGGATAAGCTAGAGGGCGAAAAGCAGGATGGTCGGAAGGAAAACCATTGTCCAGTCTAAAAAGTTTCAATAAGGAAATATGGACAAATAAAATAAATGAAAAGTGTCTAAAAAATGTTACTTTAATAAGCTCAAGAATAGAAAGACAAAAAGCTAAATGTTTTTAGGAGAATGTGTGTGCTTGCTTCAATGTATGTGTGTCTGTGTGTGTGTGTATTAGGGTGTGTCAAGGGTATTTTGGTTTTGACAGTTTTGTGAGAGTTTTTGAACAACAAGCAGCCATTTGCCGCTTTTCCTGACTTTCTTTGCCCGTTGCTGCTAAGCTGAAAATATTTTCATTATAAACTTTGCGACAGGTTTTCCCCTCGAAATGTGTATGTGTGTGTGTGACTGCGAGTCGGTGAACGGAAACGGAAATGCGCCATTAACTGGCAAGTCAAGCTTATTAGCTGCAATAAAAAATAATAAGCTGTAAAGTTATGTTGCAATTGTGGCATATTTTTTATTTTCCAACAGACAGTCTATTGCGTTGACTTTCATATATAGAATATATATATAGTATATGTGAGTTTTTCTTGTGTTGGAAATACTTTGCTACTTACTGACTTGGCTTTTTGCACTTTTCCTTCGCCGTCGACAAGGAGAACTTTCCACCACATTGTGCTTCTGTCTGCGGGTGATTGTGTGACAGCCAAGGACAACATGCCAAAGGGGACAGTCTTTCTTTCTTTCAGTCCGCCAACACACATAGAGAGAGCAAATTCAAGTTAATTTTATTTTAAAAATCGTGCTACAATATGTCCCCAGTCTTTGTGGAAAGTGACCGAGGTTTCCTTTCGGGCTCCAACTTGATAGTTGATAGTTGACTCCCATTCGACCCGACCCCTCAGATGAGTGCGATTATGAGAACCCGAGGGTGGGCATCAAAATGGGAATGGGCATGGCTGTGGGTATGAGTGTGGCATTCAGCTCGAGAAAGCGAGAATGTGTGGACAAGACACTGAGAACTTGACAAATTGACAATGTGCCAGGCGTTGATAGGAGCAGCTTAAAGAGTCCATTGAAACTTGATAGTGAGAATATTGTACAGAGCCCAGAGAGAAGTTGAAATTATTAATTGCTCTTTCTAAAGAAATTAAGAGTTTCAAATAAAGAGTATTGAGTTCATAATGATGTTCTTATTAGAGATTATTAAAAATTATTTATATAGTATTTTATATTAAATGTTTATTTCGCTTTAGCTAATCTATTGCTTTTTCTATATATATAGTTTATAAATTTAAAATTTACATCACTTTTTATCTTCACTTTTAATCTTCACACTTGTTAAGTAATTTTGCTAATTTGATTTGCATAGTTAATTAGTGAATTTAAAAGGTTTTCCACATACAAAATTCCATCGATTTAATTTTAATTAATAGAAACTTATTTAGATTGTTTAGCCAACTTTATTTGCTACAATAAAAACAGGAAACTTTGCCAGATAAATACAAATCCATTTACTTTAATCCAATTATATTTTCTTCATTGCGTTTATTTTGTCACATTGTCTCCACATTTTAGCTTAATTTCCCATTGATTTCCTCCCCCAAAGTTATTTTAATAATCATCCAATCAAAACTTATTGTTATCCATTATAATTATAATAATAATAATAATCATTGCTGTGGCTGCTGCTGCCATTAAAAGTTTTGAAATTTAAACACCTGTCAGTCGTTTCAGCGCTCAATGGCCCGGCCTGGGATTAATAACAAAACAATTTATGCAACTTTACCGAGGGTTGGAAGAGAATTGAGGTGGAAAGGTAAATAATTTCAATAATGTCCTGCTAATATCGGGTACAATAACAATAACAACAAGCCCCAGGAAGGCAGGTAAATGAGGAAGGAAGCAGGAAATACAGTGACCCTGCGGTCAAATTATTTATACACCCCACCAAAAAAAGTGAGAGGGTGGAGTTTGTCGAAGGTGGGGTATAAACGTCTGCACCTTTCAATCATGGTTTATGCCCCAACATTACCGTTAGACAGCAGTCGAAAGTAAAGTTTTTCGTTGCCTTAATGGAGCCCGAAGTGAAATACCTAAGTTCGTTGACGATAAAAGGAGCTGCGGGTAAGGCAGAGGGTTCGTAACGTATTAAAAAAGTTTCAGCTGCCAGTTGAACTCCGACAACAGGTTGGACTGGTGTACAACATTTTTAACCGCAGTCGAATCTCCCAAACAAAATATACAAAAAGAAGACACTTTTATGTATTTTGTTTTAGGTTTCCGGGGAAATTCACCTCTCCAGCTTGGAATTAAGTCAGTCTCCTACGGCGGCTACTATTCTGGTTCCGAGTAAATGATGTTGAAAAACTTTACCTTTATCTGTTGATACAAAGTAGGTGGTTTCCCAGTGGCCTTCTCAGTGTTTCTTAGTTGGCTTTTTCCTTTGCGGTTCTTCTGCAACTTGTGTTTGGCCAAAAGGTTTTCGCCTTCCAGCCTTTTTGCTTATATCCTTTTTGGTTTCTAGAGCTTTTTTAAATCAGTAAAATTATTTATATTTAGCTACATTCTGAAAAATAATCTCTTGTTTTTGTGTTTCCCATCATTTTATATATTAACAGCCTTTTGCGATTAATAATCTTCAGATAATCTTTATTATATTTATTTAATTCAATTTATTATCTATCATTGTTTTTTCGTTTAATATTACAGTGTCGAATTTTGGATTATATAAACCTTCTGGGTTCTATTTTCGGAAATGTTGGAAGCATTTTTGGGCGGGTGTTTTTTATCTTTTGAATTTTAGTACTGGTTGATGTTTGTCTTGTTTTTTCAATTTGTAAATGTCCTCCGAAAGTATGATCTGCGAAAACATTGTCAAATAAGTATACAGGTTCCGTTCTAAAATTGTATTTTATATACTCACCGGAACTTTGTCTGCACAGAAGCTTATTGTTAACGTAAAATGACTTTAGTTCTGGTAGCGCTTCTGAAGAACTGAAGTAAACATACATCTGTCCACGAAACCCCTTGTTAATATTAAAGATGGATTGACTTTCGTTAGGATACAGGAGCAAATTGCTAACCTGTATCAGGGAATGCACATTAAAGTTGGTATATATATATATATATATCTTTAAATGATTAAACACTCACATCATTGTAATTCATCGCCACGAATTCCGCTCTAAAGTTCAATTTGGGAAGACCACCTTTATGTGCCGTTAAAATGCCTATATATTCCCCTCTAGGATCTATGCCATATGTAAAGTATTCAGAGCAATTGTGTTTTGGAATAACTTGGGCTGCAGTCGAGCTCACGAAATAACAAACAAAAATCACCGAAATTCTCCACATTATGTTGCCGATGCCTAAAGAAAACTGAGCATTAGAGCTCATTGCCCATGAGTGTATATTGAAACTTATCAAGTGGGTTTTACCAAAGCTTATCGGTTTTTTGAAGAATACTAAAGAAATACGAGTTGGGTCATCAGAGTTTAATTAAGAATTATGTTGAATATGTTATATACTATACTATATACTCTATAAACTGAAAACCATAGTTCAAGTTAGTTCAATTCCATTAATATTTGTTATTGAAAATTTAAAACCTATTTATATTTCTCCAATAAGAATTTTTGGTACTATTGCAGGAAAAATTGGATTCATTTTTGGGCGAGTGTTTTTAACTTTTCGCATATTACGTGGTGAGACTATTTTCAGAACGACTTCACCCAATCGATATTTAGGTAGTTCTGTGGAAAGAATCCGAAACATGTTAAAATATCCATGACATTTTTAAAGTTATACTCGCCTATTGTTGTGTCACACAATAACTCATTATTAACATAAAATCGTTTTAGAATTGGTAGTGTATCTTTGAAACTAATGAATCGAATAAATGCCTGGCCACGTAGTCCGTTTTTCATATTTCGGAAGGCTTTTTTTCATCTGGGTAAGCCTGCAATTTACTGATCTATATAGGCCAATAGGATATATACATATTAAGTAGATTTCAACTTGGATACTTGATTTCCAGTCACCTTTTCAGCATCTTCTAACACAAACGTTGCTCTTAATTCCAAATTTTGAACTCGCGCTTCCTTTGCCGTAAAAACACCAATGTAAGTTCCGCTGGCATCTATGCCATAGGTAAAATATTCGGTGCAATTGTGTTCGGGAAAAATTAAAGCCATTGTGGGGCCTAAAAATAAGCAATTAAAAAACAGAGATTTTATTGACATTCCGTTTGTATGAAACATGCTTAGCAGTCGAGTAATAACTGATAACTGAGAGTTGGGATCGTTGCAATGAGTGTATACAAAAATATTTTGAGAGCATAAGCTTCGTTAATGTTGATAAGCTTATCATTTCTTAAAACGTATAATATGAAATATATACATAAGTTATTTTATAATAAATACTCTTGTTGGGCCAAGCTGCCAAAGACAAAGCAGCGGCGGGTTTATCAGCAGTTTTTATTTTGTTGGTTCTCTCAGTTTCGCATGCGCTTTACTGTTATTTTGTAGCGCAGGCGCTTTTCGGAGCTTTTGTAGCTGTAGATCGAAGCTTTTGTTGTTATGCTTCTTCTTGCATTCGGCGTGGTTTTGTTGCGGAGTTGATTTGGTTTGATTTGAACTCGGAATAAAGTTTGGAAATTGCACTGCCCCGGTTTATTTATTCTACAAATAAAAACAAATAACTCTTTTATTCTGCTCTTTGGCCCTATAATTTCATATTTTTGATGTTTAGTTAGCCAACATTAATTTATAGATTCCATTCAGTACCCGCTTGGCAAAGGCATAACTCTCAATTTAAAATCAGTGCCAAGTGAATGGTTTTAAGTTTTCATTCAATAAATATCAAGCAGAAACATATGCCCCAAAACTCCATACGTATAGATGTCCTTCTGTGAGCGAGCAAAGTGCAAAGTGCACGTAGAATGCATTAAAGATAAAAGCCGGCAACTTCAAACTGGAAAATATGATACAAAAGGCAACATTGGATAGCGACGATGGGTTGAGCAATAGAATGGTTGGCTATATGCAGTCGTGGCCATAATTTCCAACAGTGGTTTTTATGCTGAATGTGCATTTTACGACTTTTTAAGTGTCAGGGCAAACAAAACTTTCCGTGGGAGTCCTCTAGGACCTCCAGAACCAGGAGCAGAACTAGAACCATGCAACTGGCAGCTGGTGCTTTGTGCTGCCGGCGGGACACCTTGTATGTATACAAAAGACGCCAGACATATTTTCTTTCAACAAGAATAAACTTTGCTTTTCAAATATATATATACATACATATATATTTTCAAACTTTCAAACCAAGAGCAAAGCCAGAAAGGGGCGCATTAAGTCCAAGTTTACGAAAAACTTAATTCTATTTTTAAAGGACCAACGAACACACACATATACACCTACGCAGGAAGGCCAGGATTGCATGGAAGGGCTGAGGCAGTTGCAGTTGCAGTTCCGTTTCCGCCCGTTGTTCCATGCAGGCAGTAGTCACGGCTTCCCCTTGCACTAAGTTATCGTCTTTATTGTTTGTCACATACATGACCTCACAATTGTGTTCCTGTTTCTTGGCTGCTCTATGCTGCTCTGCCTCAGCCGCCATTCCTATTCCAATTCCTATTGCTATTGCTGCCTTTTGCGCTGAATGGCGATGCGAGCGGAAACGGAAATGGCATAAGTTGTTGTCGCCTACTAGTTCACACGTAAGTCCGTTCATTCAACAATAAAACGACGTTGCTGCATCGCTAAAGACGCTACAAAAGGCGTTGGACTGCGGACCTGGCCACTGAACTGGTGAGGGCCAACAATGAAATCCCATAAAAGAAAATCAAGGCGGTTGGCTTTGCTCTGGCAATTCAGAGATGGCAATGTGATATACTGACTGCCGGCGTGCGAATGGCTGAAGCCTTTCAATGGTCTTTGTAGTCGCAGCACTTCTTTCAGCTGTCGGGTTTGTTTAACACGTTTTTCAAGGCTCTTATACTATATATCTTATTTGTTTCTGTCAAAGAGTGGTTTTAATGTCATTGGTTAGTGGTTTTCTCTCAATTTAAAATTATCTTTAGTAAACATATAAAAGCTAAAATCCATAGCTTGGTAGCTAGTTAAGTAATATATGACTTATATATAGTTTATATACCCACACAGTTTTTTTTACTGTCAGTCTTTATTTATAAGTTTAATAAATATTATCTTAATTAAAATTCTTGAATTTTTACCATTATTTCAACCCTTGGCATCTCTATGGACCACCTGGTCGAGTTTTATTCCTTGGGAAAAATTTGCAGCTTCCACCACGTCGTATACGTAATGTGCGTTGTAAAATTAGCAAAAGCTCGCACAAGCCCAAACGGAAGGAACTAAGATGGGGAACGAAGGAGAATGGAAAAATAAGAGAGCGTAGGGTAGAAGGCCACTTCATAAAAACTGCTAACTTCCTAAACTGATTGTGACCCTGCCACGATGGAGACGGCTTCAAGTTGAATAGAAAATTGCAGCTGCAAAAGTTCTTTTCTGTCGCTTGTTGTCACTGTATTGGATCAACCTCCAACCTCTTTAGTCCGCTTCTGATGCGAATATTCCGCCCACACTTCCTGCGTCTCCTTTCTGAAGCGTTGCACGTTTTTCTTATTCAAAAGTTATTGTGCTGCTGTCAGGAAAGTTTCCCTCTTTTTTTTCTCCTATTTTTTTTTCTACTCCACCTTCAGAAATGGCCAGTAGCGAGCCAAAATCCAATAATGGCCAAGAGAGAGAGAGAGAGAGAGAGAGAGCTAGTGAAAGGGAGGATTTACGCACACACAGACACAGGCATTGCTTTCAAATACTAATCTACGCGCTATAATTGAAAAACTAACGGTTTTTGTAACGAGTTTTTCGTGCTTTTACTGCAAGTGTGCGCATTTTTAGTTTCTCTATCCTCTGCGTGTGAGTGTCGCCTACTTTCTCTTTTCCACACACATCCAGCCACTTTTCCCAGGCCTCCCGGAAAACTGAAGCTCGGCTGGAGTTTTTCCCATAAACTGCAACAATCATTCTTTCGGCTCCGTTTTTCCCCGCTCTTACAAACACGCGCGCATATTTTTTGCTGACTTTTCGGTGAAATGCGTTAAAGGGGCAGTTTTTCAGCTACGCAGGAACACCCTTCTTTTTTGGGTATCATATGTACTAATCTTTCTTTAAGTAGCTAAATTTGTAAGAGTTTGATGGTTTAAAAAATAATGTCAGGAATGAATATTTTCTATTTGCATTTATTTTTCAATATTTAACTTAGAAAATTGGATGGCAACTATTAATAAATTTTTTTGCTTTTTGTTTGTTAGCTTTGGTCTTTGTTATTTCTCTGATTTACTTGAAAAAAAAAGTAAAAAAATTATATTTATACACATTTAAAATTTTCTATTTTTAATGCTTTCTATTACTTAAAGTTTATTTAACCCAATAGTTTACTTTTTTTATTCAGTCACTTGATTGATTTCCGTTCTTCTTAGCATTCTTGTTAATTTGTACAACGTTAAAATAAATAATTTTCATATTTTTAGTAATTTAAAGAGATTTTTCGTTTTTCTTTAACAGCTTGAAATATAGTTTAAGGGCATTCTCTTGATGACCCTAACTAATCCTAGCTAGTAAGCATTAAAACCAAAACCAAACACTTTCATTTGCACATATTTCTATGGAATGGGGCAACAGTAACAGCAAAGAATGAATGAAAAAATAACCATGAAATTGAAAAAATATGATGACACCTTCATTGCTAGTGAAACAATGGCTACCGCTTGTATATATATGTGTGTGTATGTGTACTTATGGATATCTGTGTGACTGCGGGTGATTGTGTGTATGTATGCGTGTGGGTGAATCCTCTTTTTGGGGGTTCTGTAGCGTGGACTTTTGTGTGCACGCTGACTTGAAACATTTTTGCACTGCCCCGTTGCTGGCCAGATTTTCTCTCAAAGCGAACGCAAACAAAAACGCAATCCGTAAAAAAAGTGAAAGATAATTTTTCGAAAAATTTCGTCGGAAAGCATTTTGCTGCTGTCAGGCTGATGGCAGCTTTCAATTCCTCTTTTTTATGACTTAAGAGCCAAAAAATAGCCAGAAGGATTTTTGGCTTTTTTGTCACGATCTAAGCCGCGGTTTGGTTCCGATTGCCCGTGTGCGTTGTGACTAGCATGAATATTGGCATTCTTGGCTTTTCAATTTCGCTGAGAGTTTTTCCTGCTCCGATTTTATACGTTTTTTTTTGCTTGATTTTGTCAGTGTACGCGAAGTGGTCATAGCTCAAATTACCTGGCCAAGTGGCGCGGGCATTAAATTAAATACCTTTTGTCTGTGGCCATTAAATGAAACGACTTTCGTCGACAACCTAAAGAGGGTGGCATATTTTTTTTTACCTTTTTCCAACTTTGGGCCAAGGGTTATGGCCATGTTGACCAAAAAAGTGTGCGTACGAAGAGCAACAACAAAAGGCGTTTGGAGAAAGAAATTCAATCAATTCGCACGTGACATGATTATTTTATGCTTTTATTTATTTATGGTGTATGCATTTTATTTTATTTCACTTTTATTTATTCCTATACCTTTCTGTTCGTTTTTTGTGTTC